AGATCTTAGAATTAGCCCTGAAGTTTTGGATGTGCCTCCCACTGAAAAGTGGGGTCTCTGTCCCCAGCCTGGCAGGCTGGTGACTGTGTCACCTGATGGAGTCAAACAAAAGGGAGGCTGGGGTATAAAAGGCAGAGGCTGGGTCAAGGATTTAGCTCAGTGGTGCCATGCCTGCCTCGCAAGCCCAAGGTCCTGAGTACAAACCCCAGTACTGAAAAAAAAAAAAGTCAGAGGCTGCTGCTCGCTCTAGAGCCCTGGGCCACGTTGTGAGAAGCTCAGAGGTCCAGAGGCAGCCATGATGGGAGGAAGCCAAGTCTCTTGGATAGAAGGATTGGAGTCCCAGTGGCACCCGGCCTTTGAGCCTTCTAGGCCAGGCAGAGATTTATGATAAAAGGTCTGGTCTCTGCTCAACAAGTCACTCTACTCATTATGTTTCCAAGCTTAGGACCTGGACATCATGGAGCAGAGACAAGCTTTCCCTCCACTCCTTCTTCAACTTTCAGACCCACAGAATCCATGAACCTAATAGAGTTTGGTTATTTTACACCACCAGGTTTAAGGTGATTTGTTTTGCAGCCATAGAGCCAGGATAGTGGCTCATTCAGTAACTGCATTATTTTTTTTCTTAAATTCTTTTTATTGGTACATTTTAAGTATACAGTACATTTACATTTATCATTGGGTGCTTGTACCTGTACATGATGTATCTTGGTTCTTACTTTCTCCCCAATCACCTCCCCACCCTTCACCCCCTCCACCCTTCCCTATTTACATAGGCTTCATTTCCATTTTTTTCTTTTCTCATAATTTTTCCTTTCCCTTCTTCCCTCTCTCCTTCCCCTCCCACCACCCCTACCCCTTTGGACCTTTTCTTCCTATTTCAAATTATCAATTATTCATCTTAATCCTTATTTATGCTTTCAGTTTCTCACACTAGAGAAACTATTCAGTATTTACACATGTGTGTTCTATTTATTTCACTTAGGAGTATGGCCTCAATATGCATCCATTTAGCTATAAATGTCTCTAGTTATGGTTGAGTCATACTCCATTTTATAAAAAAACCACATCTTCTTTATCCAGTTTCCAGTTGATAGGCACTTGGGCTGTTTCCAAGCTTTAGCTATTACAAACTGTGCTGCTATAAACATGGGTGCACATACATCGCTGTGGTATGATTCTTTTAATTCTTTGGGGAAGATACCCAGCAGGGGAATAGCTGGGTCAAATGGGACCTCTAGCCCTAGTTCTTTGTGGTGTCTCCATAAGTAACTGCATTATTGAAACAGCATTCCTTTCTGTACAGACTACAATCCATAGTTATACCTTTATTGAAACATTCACAACAACTATTTCTCAATACAAAATTAATGGCTTTCATAATCAGGGTTAATCTCAGCAGTGCTTCTACCTGAAATCTCTACCATGGAAGGGTAATGATCCATTTCTCCTGCAACTCAACTGTGAGATAGCAGCATATAAACCATATACAGAGCTTTCCATTCCAAGTTCTATCCACAAGGCTTTTCTATATTGGAAAGGCAGTTGTCAGATACAAATGCTAAATATGAATGCCAAACCTTGCTCGTGTCCCTGATGCAGTTACATTCCCTCCACAGACAGATCAATATGTCTGACTCAGAGAGGCCCAGCAATGATGTGAAAGAGTTTTAATATTCACCCTTTTGGAGGCCAAGACCCCAGTAGAACCTCAAAGCAGCCTTGAGATTATTCTAGTTTTTCTATCTTCATGGCTCTTTGGCAGTGGATAGCAGAGTTGATGGGAGCTGGAGGGAAAACTGAGGCTCACTGAACCCTGGCAAAGAAAACCAGTGAATGATGGTTGAGTAATTCACTACCTCTCCAACCCCTGCATTCCAAGACAGTGATGACGCCAGCAGAACCCAGAATGGTCGCCATGTTTGCATTTTCCCAATAGATTATCTTTTTTGTAGTAATGGGTATCAAACCCTAACCTTAATATCTGTCTATCCATTTTTGATACAGGGTCTTGCTAAGTTGCCCAGGCTAGGCTTGAACTTGCAATCCTCCTGTCTCAGTTTCCCAAAGTTCTGGGAAGGCAGGCACCACCACACCCAGTTGCCAATGGGCTTTTAATATTCTGCTATGGTTTACATGTGGTTTGTCTGCCAAAGGTAGGCATATTAGAAGCTTGGTCCCCAGTGTGGTAGAATTAAGAAGTGTAGAGCCCTTAAGAGATGAGGTCTAGTGGAAAATAATTGGGTCATGGAGATGCTGCCCTAGGGAGAAATTAAGTCGCTCTCATGGGATCCCAAGAGACCGAGTTATTATAAAGAGTAGCCCTGTCCCCTCCCTGGCCTCTGTCTTGCTGTCTAATCATGTGATCCTTTCCACACATGCTCCTGGGGCTGAATGATGGAGTCTATCTTGCATTTTCAGCCTCCAAAATGATGAGCTAAATAAGCCTCTTTATAAAGTACTCAGCCTTGGGTATTTTGTTATAGCAATGGAAAATGGACTAATACAAGCACAAATGTCCACCAGGTCCTTAGAATAGGGCCACATCCCTTCACATCCCCCTGGGAAAGATGGTACCCTCTTCGGTACCCCATCCTTCCAGAACATGTGTATATCTGTTCAGACCCCCAGGGTGGGTCATATTCTCTCAGAGTCCCCAAACATCATAAAACACATGCATAACACATTTTTTCAGCTCACTATTGCAGAGGAAAATTTAGTCACTTCCTCTAACTATACATTTCTAACAAACCAATATATGGACCAAGCCTCAAATTATACTCCAAATACCATAGGTAGCAGAGCCAGCCATGTGTAGTCATTTGGGACAATTAAAAGGGGAGGAGAGGGCTATGCACATGAGATACAGGCTGGGGAGGCTCTGACCAACAAAGCAATGCTGGGGATCAATCTTGCTAGGGCTTTGGGGCCAGGGACTGATGATTGGAGCATTTCCCAGATGAATGGTTTGCTAGTTCCGACAGGGTCATGACAGTTCAAGACCGCTGCAAGGACAAAGGACAAACTCCTGGGCCCTTAACCTGTTACTCATTAAAAGCACGATTTGTGGTTTGGTTTTTTTTCTGAAATAATCAGAGACTTAAAAATGGATCTCATACCTCTTCATTTGGGCCTACCAATGCCCAATAAGTAACTACAAGTAAAGTCTGACATTCATTTTCGTATCCTTTATTACCTTAAAAGTTTGGATATAGGTACATTGGTCATTTAAGAAAAATCAGTAGAGCAAAGCTGATTAGCCCTAAATTTTCATAGCCTATTCCCCTTTAAGTCAGGGACACCAAGATAAGAGTAGTGAGAATAATTCTCAGGATTCATAGCAGCTTCCAATTGCTAGGTTTTACAGTGTCCAGCCATAGACCCTTCCTTCTCAATGGAGCAGAGCTTAGACATCTCCAGCTATTGTCCTGAACCTGTGTTGACATGAGAGGAAAAGCAGAGCCTCACATGACTGACACTGTCACAGAGACACTCATTTCCTGAGAAAAGAACTGCCCCCAGGCCAGGAGGATTTCTCTACCACCCTGCAGCCAGGACTGAGATAATGATCAGCAGCATCCTGGCCCACCTCAGCTAATCCTTCACAGCTGGCCTCCTGCCTAATCCTCTCCATCAGAGTGCACCCCCTCCTGCCACTCAAGATAGAGTCCTTTCTCTGTCTTCTCTCTTACGTTCCAACAAAAGCTCCTTCCCTACAAATTTGTACTTCAGCTGTAATCTCCATTTCTCCTGAAACCAGGACCCAAACTCGCCAGTGACAACTTTTCAAAGGTGCTTTTTCGGATCTATTTATATTTTAAGAAATTTCTTAGCAGCTTGAGGTTGATGGGTGATGTGTTTTAGCGCACACACACACACACACACACACACACACACACACACACACAGAGCAACTGGTTTTCTGCAAAATTAGGCAAACATCTTAATTTTTCATTGTGTGGGTGCAGCAGTGCCCCCTGGTGGCCATTTGGGCCACTATGAACATCGGCAGAAGCCCCAGAGAAGAGTTGGCGGGTAGCTCCCCAAGGGAAGCTGAGACCCCAGCCCAGATGGAGGAAGGGGTGAGCATCTCAGGCTGTGGCCACAAAGCCTGGCACCTCAGTCTCCAACCTACAGGGCTCTGCTCTCTTCTTCTTCTTCTTCTTCTTCTCCTTCTCCTTCTCCTTCTCCTTCTCCTTCTCCTTCTCCTTCTTCTTCTTCTTCTTCTTTTTTTGCAATTCTGGGGATTAAACTCCAGGGCCCTTATATTGAGCTACATCTCAAACTTTTTTTTTTTAGACAGGATATTGTTAATTCGCTAAGTTGCCTAGGCTGTGCTCAAATTTATGATTCTCCTGTCTCAGCCTCCTAGAGTGCTGGGATTACAGGTCTGCACCACCATGCCTAGCTCAGGGCTTTTTTTCTATATTGGGCCAAGATGAATGTCTGTTTTTTTCTCACTGAGCATTGACGTCCAGTTCTCCTGGAAATAGCCCTCATTCCCCTTTGGGGAATCTCCCATGCTCAGCTTATATGGTTCTTGAAGGCCTAGATCCCACCCCTATGCCACACATCCGGTGCACAGTGATTTGCTGAGAGGTGAGCATGTGACCCAAAACCTGTCAAATGAGAGCTCGGGGTCATTGGGACTATTTTTGCTGGAGCTATGAGGAAAGAAGCATTTCTTTTCCACTGGAGCTACAAAGCTGGTCCATGGCACAGAAGCCTGGAGTTGACGTGGAGGTAGAGGTACAGCTCTGTTTATAGAGGAGCCTACCGGGAAATGAAGCTGATACACAGTTAAAGAGAGTTGAGAGCCGCTGGATCCAGCAGTACCTGAAGCCAAAATGCTCTAGGGTACTTCCATTTAAGTGAACCATCCTTTTGCTTCAGTCAGTTGGAATTAGAGAATCACGCTTCCTGCCTGATCTGTGCCAGCTCCTAATTCATCTCTTTCCAAAAATATCCTCATTGCTTCATACATGTACAAACTCAGAGGACACATTAATCAAAACCGTTTTTATTATTTAAAGGGCATCCTGTCATCAGGGGGCCCCAGACTAGAGGCCCCAGGGGACAGACCAATATTTACATGGGGTGGGAGGGCGAGGCGTGGGTGGTCCCAGGACTGAGTGGGCCCAGCACTGTGGGAGACAGGACCTGAGTGGAGGCTGTCCTTCGACCCGTGGACTGGGCCCAAGAAGAAAAATGTCCCAGCCTAGGCCCAGCGTGGCTCCTACCATGTGGGGCTGGAGCCACCTAGACCAACTCCGGCCCTGGAGGCACGTGCAGCGAGGAGACGCCACAGGTCAGAGCTGGGTCACCATGCCGCTGGCTTCGGAGTGAGTCTGGGGAAAGACAGCTAGGGGCTTTCGAGGCCTGCAAGGCTTCCCCCAAAGTCCCACAGCTGGTCTCCCTTCACCGGAAGCCCATGGAAACCCATCCGCTCCCTGGGATGTCCTCTTCTGGGCCTGAGCGCCAGTTTCCAAAAAGCATCTGTCTCCTCATCAGAGTCCCACACATTCCCACCCCAGCTCCCTCCCCGGGGCTCAACTCACCTTTATGGCTTGGAAGATCCACTCCCGGAAGTCAGTGACTTTGGTGTAGACGCCCGGCTTCTGGGCCAAGGCACAGCCAGTGCCCCAGCTCACAATGCCGCAGAGCCGCCAACGTGACGTCCGAGAGATGCTGTCCTCACACACAAAGGGACCACCGCTGTCGCCCTGGCAGGGGAGGGCAACCCTGGCTGGAGCCCAGGATGGAGGCCGGGAGGTCCCCTGACCCTGAGACAGGCAGCCCCAGGGGGTGGTAAGCCAGGGGCTGCCCCACAGTCCCTCACCTGGCAGGCATCAACCCCACCCTCAGGGTAGCCGGCACAGAACATCTTGGGCTTGATCTGGTTCCCATAGAAGTCAGGGCTATTGCAGACATCATTGCTGATGATGGGGACTCGGGCCTCCTGGAGCACTGCAGCCTGCTGGCCTGGGATGTGTGGATAAGGCTGGCTGAAGGTGGGGAGCAGGCATACGCCCTTCCCTCCTGGCGTCCACCCCTACACCCAGGTTTGAGCGCCATCCACCCCACTGGACTGCCCTTTCCTTGTCCCTCTCAGAGGCACCAGAGGCCATGTGCAGGACTCACCATAGTACTGCGTGTTGCCCCAGCCAGTCACTGTACAAATCTTGCCATCCACCAGGGCCTGGCCAGCCGCCGGGAGGCACACAGGCTGAATGTACTCTGCAAGAGAGACCAGAGTCCAGCCCCTGGCGGCCTGCCCATCTGGTGCAAACCTACCTGTCCAGCCTCCCCACGCGCCCCCAGCATGCCCCCTTTCCTCTGTCCCTTTATAATATCACAGCAGAACCACCATCTACTGAGAGCTGCCCATGTACTATGCTTTCCTCCACCACCTCCTTTAACCTCCCATCAGTCCTGGCAGGTTGGGGCATCTATTACCCCATTGTACGGAGGAGGGAATTGAGGCCAAGCCACATGGCCAAAGTTTCAAAATAAGTCAATGGCAGAGCCAGAATTTGAAGCTAAGTTGGCCAAGGTTCATCTATGTTACAGCAGGGATCAGTACTTTTTCCCCTTTTTATGGCCAATTGTTAGTCCACTGTATGAATATGCCACATTTGTTTATCCGTTTGTCAGATAATGTACATTTGAGTTGTTGGCGTATTTGGCTAATGTGAATAGAGAGTTCATGAACATTCAGGTACAAGTGTTTGTGTTGACATGTATTTCATTTCTCTTGGGCAGATACCCTAGGAGTGGAATTGTTAGGTCAAATGGTAAACTAACTTTTTCAGAAATTTCCAGCATTTTCCAAAGTGCCCACACCCACCCTTCAGTTAATGTCTGGTAGGTCCCACAGGATTAGTCCCTTGTTACCTGGATACCTGAATGATCAATTTAATCTACAGCCCTGGCCACCTCCTTTCTCCTCTGTCTCTGGGGTCCCCAAGGCGAGGCTTGTCGCCCAAGACTCACCCGTGAGGGGCAGAGGGCTGGCAAGGTGGACCAGGGCAATATCATTGCTGTTCTCCTCGCTGGTGGGGTCCCGAAAGGGAAGATAGCCTCCATGGTAGACCACGGCCTGCACCCCCAGCTGCATGCCCTGGGGCGAGGCCTGGGCCACAGCCCCGGCAAACACTCGCCAGCGGGACAGGACGCGGTTCCGCCTGCCAGGAAACAAGAGGGCAGGCTGGTGGCCTGCCTGGGCATGGCCTCCGGCCTCTGGGGCACTGCCTCTCCCACCTGGGCACTCACTCTGGGAAGCAGTGGGCAGCTGTCAACACCCAGTCCCCCGAGAGCAGGGACCCCCCGCAGAGGTGGGCTCCATCATAGCGCAGGCTGACTTGCCATGGCCACCTGCCCAAGCTGGTGTCCTGGCCTCCCACAATTCGATCTACGGGCAGCTTCCTGCGGCCACAGTCTGTGGGCGAGGGGGTGGTCAGGGAAACAGAGGGGAAACAGTCTTGCCCTGGGAGTCCGAGGTTGACCTGCCCCATGCTTAGGGGACCTATGGAGACACAGCCCTCCCCTTGGGAGAGTCTGAGGGTCCACAGTTCCCCCGCGGCATCCAAGGGAGCTGGTTCTGAGTTTCAGGATCTCACCTTGGCAGATGGTGGCCAAAAAACGACCTCTGGGACAGTCACTGCGAAAGAGACAGGGATGGAGACACCAAGAGACCCAAAACACGGAGACCCATTGGGACAGACCACAGGGAAAGGAGGAATGCGGGCGGGCACGGGTGCAGGGACTGGGGGATCAGGCCCCCACCCGCCTCTGCCCGCTCACCACACAGAGACGACCTCCAGCAGCCTCCGGGCCTGGGGCAGCCTGCCCTCGTCCACACAGAAGAAGCCCGATGTGCCGTTGGCGCCTGCTGTCCGCACGTCCAGCTCTGAGTGGGCCACAGCCCTGGACGGGGCAGGGGTCAGGCCTGCTCCCGTGCCACTCGCGCGTAACCCCTTTCTCCCAGCCAGGGTGCCCTGCTACCTGAGGAAGCCCGTCTCCTCGCAGCTGAGACCTGCCACCCTGGCGTTGGAGCGCGAGGAGCACAGAAGCCGCCAGGTCCCCTCCGTCTTGTCGAACACGGTGAGCCTTGCGTCCACCGGGCTGACCTGCACTGCGGGGCGACAGAGCGGGGCCGCCTGGGTCCCTGGGCCAGGCTCCTGACCACCTCCCCACGGCCCCTCAGGGCCTGTTCTGCAGCCAAGCTGCTCTCATCCTGGATCCCCAGGGCCCCCTCAGAGCTCGGCACCTCTACCTGTGTGGTGCTAGGAAGGACCCGAGAGTCAGGTCACACCAGTGTGGGGTTGTCTTCTCCTCCCACTGGCACTCCTAGCTAAGCTGGTTGCTGGAACTTGACTTGGACATGTGGGGAAAGGGAAATAGTTTCCAGCTAAGTTCTCCAGAGAATGGCATGGGGGGCTGGCTCTGCTGAATGCCACTTTTGCCCCCTTGAGGGGAAAGATCAGCTAACTTGGAAGAAACCAGAGAGAATCCTGATAACCTTTTCTTCCTTTTCTTTCTGTCTTTTTTTTTTTTTTTCTTTTGGTATTGGAAGTTGAACTCAGAGCTTTTTCCATGTGCTACAGCCTTTTTTATTTTTTATTTTGAGACAGAGTCTTGCTAACTCTCTAACTTGCCCGGGCTGAGCTTTAAGTCACAGTCCTCTTCCCTCAGTCTCCCCTGGTGCTGGGATCACAGTGGTGTGCCACATTTTCAAAGCTCCTTGACTCAGCCAGGCTTGAAGAACCCCCAGCATCAAGCAAGTTAGTAACTTCCCCTTCCATTTAGCCAATTTCCTTTTTTCCTTTTTTTTTTTTGGAGTTGGAAGACCCTTGACTAAGACCAGATTACCAAAATGTTTCAATAAATATCTCATGGTCATAAAAAATACAGACAAAATTACCTATCTTTTCTGTAGGACTTATCAGAGCCTTGAATGCTAATGGGCATAATTCTCCAAGCAGAAGATGCAATATTCATTCGTTCACTCACCGAGAATTAACTGGGCCTACTGCATGACACTGGGAACACAGGATGACAGAGAGAGCCCTGGGCCCTGCTATCACCCAGCCAAAGTCTGGGCAGTGGGAGACAGACAGTAATTAAATAGTCACTCAAACAACACATTAGAAACTGCCACGAGGCAGGCTGAGATACAGAAGAAAGCTGGAGAGTTCCCAGGGTGGGGCCCATCAGTCTGCCCTCCCCACACACATACACACAGCTGGAGGAAGCCCGGTACCACTTAAATCAGGTCAAAGCCCTGAGGCGCACTTCTTTATATTTACCAAACACTAGGTAAGTGCCAGGCTCTATTTTAGGCTGTGAACAAATCACCACAGCAATGAACAAATCAGACAAAACCCCTGCCCCTGTGGAGCTCAAAGCCCAGTAGGGGAAGTAGATAACAAACTAGACAAGCAACTAAAATACGCCATGTGTCACAACCAAAGAAGAGGGCATGGAGATAGCAGCTTGGTAGCGAGGGAGAGCAGGTGAGTGAGGCAAGGCGGTGCTTCTCAGCACGCTGCAGGGAGGGCCGCTCCAAGGAGGTGGCAAATGAGCAAAGATGGGAAGGAGGTGAGAAAGACACAAAGGTACATGTGGGGACAGCGAAGGAGGCCAAGGAGCTGCAAGTGCAGTCCCAAGGCTGAGGTGTGCAGAGGGGACAGCAAAGAGCCAGAGCCACGGGGAGCAAGGGGAGAGGAGGGGAGGAGGAGATGCAGTGGAGCAACGCTTGGACTTGGCTGTCAGCTGGAGTGCAGCGCAGCTGTGCCCAGGTTCCTGGCTTCAGGTAGAGACAGACGGGGGCGGGGATGGAGTGGAAGAGCAGGCCAGAGGCCACGTGATGTCCAGGTCTGAAGGGACTCAGGCTGCATCACAGTGGGGCAGTGCAGGGAGAAGAGTTGGATTCTGGATAGACTTTGTAGGTGGAGCTGCCAGGAGCTGCCGAGAGACTGGACTCATGTGTGAAGTGAAGGAACAAAGGAGAGGGGTCAAAGGGTTTGATGTGAGCACTAGAAGGAGGGAGCTGTCACTAGCACAGGTGGAAGGAGGAGCCAGTTGGGGGAGACCAGCTATGGCCTGTTAGCCCTTCCCACAGGATGCTCCAGCATGGCTGTGCCCTCAGGCCACCTTCTGGGAAACCAAGTCTGGTGACAATGTACTTTTGTATCCTTGTAGGAGGCTCCTGACAAGGCCACATACAGGCTGAGTCCTCTTGGCCAGCCCTGCAGGTCTCTAGGATGGTGCTGTGGGCTCTCTCTGCCTTACCAGTAAAGGCCTTGCCATCCCCGCAGGGACCACAGAGATCTTCTCTGAGGAGGCTGAGGCTTGGAGAGGTGGCATGACTTGCCCAACATCACCAAGAAGGTGAGAGGCAGAGAGGCAGGATTTGAAACCAGGCCTAAGGGACTCAACCTCTGTCCGTCTGACAGATAAGGGAACTGAGCCTTGGAGGTATACACTTACCCAGGGATGCACAGCTAATCCTGGCCAAACCAGGATTTGGACCCAGTCCAGCCAACCTTCACACTCTCTGCTCCTTCTGTGGGTCCCACACAGACCCTCACCTGTCCCTGCCCTGAGTGCACTCATCCCGCTGAAAGTCCCCTGCTCCAGGGTGAGGCAGGGGTGCCTAGCACCTCAGCTGGATGGTGACCACCACTCCCTGAGCTCCAAGACAAGTTTTAGGACAGCAACTCAGGGCCAGTAAATTCTTACTTTATTTTTTTATTTAAAAAAAATTTTTTTGTGTGATACTGGGGATTGAATCTAGGACCTTTGTGCTGAACTACATCCTCAGCCCTTATTTTCAATTTTGAGACAGGGTCTCCTTAATTTGCTTAAATGCCCAGACCAGGCTGAAATTTACAATCCTCCTGCCTCAGCCTCCCATTACAGGTATGCATCAGCACCCACACAAGTAAGGCTCAAAGTCTTACTTTAAAATGACTCCTAACTGCTTGCAGAAATTTCAGCAAGAGTGGGGTTTGAGGAAGACAATGTGACTTTATGGATGTGTGTTAGGAGAGGTGTGGGAACATCAAATGCTTCCTCTGATTATTTTTAAAGCTACATTTTATGCCACTTTTAAATTCTTTATTCTCATTTATATTATTTTAAGCAATGCAAAAAGTATGTTCTGGGTCACCTGGTATGCTTACCAAATTGCCTGATATATTTAGAGGTGTGAAAATCCCAGAAAAACAAGATGGTTAGATCGTTGGGGGGTTGTTTTTGTTTGTTTGTTTGTTTGTTTCATAATTTCTCAGTGTTTTGGAAACACTCAAGTACAACTGGAGGGCAAGGGTCCTGGCCGTGGCCACACCGAGTCTGAGCCATAGCCAGTAACGCTCCACCTGGAGGCCCAGGGCAAGCTGGTGCATCTCAGTGACTGTCTGTACACTGACTCACTCATCAAAGATTTCCTGAGCGCCAACTATGTGCCAGGCACTGCTGGAGCAGTTGCCCCCAGGTACTACCGAGGCTGAGTGGGGCAGGTCCCAGCCCGGCCACACAGCTATGTGACCTGGGGCCAGGCCCTTGGCTTTCTGTGCCTTGGCTTCCCCACATGAAAATGGGCTGCGCTGAGGACTGAATGAATGGACCCCATCAATCCCCAAGGCTGTGCCTGGCACAGATAAATGCTACCACAGTGCCAGCGAGGACAGTGAATGTTGATTGGGCTTTTCCTGCCTGGATTTTCATTTCTTCTTGTAATGTGAGCTGCATCCTTTATGGAGTTAGAGGACATTGGGAAATGGGAAAAATACATCCTACCACCCCACTCTCCCCTTCTTTCTGCAGCCCTGGGTTGCAGAATGTTATCATGGAGTTGGCACCTGGGAAGATTCATTCATTCATCCCACAATTGTTTCTGCCTTTTATCTGTGTGCCCATTCATTCTCTTGAGCCCGCAGACTGTCTGTCACAGGCACACCTAAGAGCTACTCCTGGCCCCATCATTTACCAGCTGTGTGTCCTCTCTGGTCCTCACCTTGCACATGTATAAAATGGACAAATAGTAGCAGCTACCTCCTAGGAGAGGTGAAAGCGTCCACTGAATTCAAACTGTACCTCTGGAACAGGTTTCAACCATGCCCCATGGTACAAAACACATTTGTATATCATGATGTGGCTGGCCCCCGGAGCTCTGTGATCTGGGGCAAACCACCACATTCCCGAGCCTCAGTTTCCCCTGTAAAATGAGGAGAGTAACAATCCCACCTCCCAGAGCTTCTGGGAAGAAGCCATGGGATTGCACGAACATGAATGCACAAAAGCAAAGCAAAGCAGCAAAAAAACGTTTTCTTCCTGGGAGACATGTACAGTGATACTTCCTAATCTAATCTCCTTTATATTTTTATAAAATGGAGCTTTCAACTCCCTCATTTAATTTCATGGGGCACCAATGAGTAACCCACTGGGAGCCTGAAAACCACTGGGTTAGACGTGTGAAGTGTTTATTAGCTCATGCCTGGTACACAGCAGGTACTCGGTACAAATGCACTACTGTTATGAGCATTTCAGATGTATATGTACATACACTCATTCAAAAATACTCTTTACAGAGCTGCCCCCACAAACTGGTTTCCACCAGGGCTCCTCAGAGGGTCCCAGCCTGCAGTACTCACCTGGGTACAGCAGCTCTTGGTCACTCCTGAGTAGGACGGTCACTGCAGAGAAGGTAGAGGTGAGGCAAGAGGCTGGGGTCTCTGGGTAGGGGAGGGTAGAGGCACAGGGGCCGACCGCTCTCACCAATGGCCCAGGACGCCACCCCGATGCCTGTCAGGAGTAGCAGGGTCCCCACAATGAGAGCTGCCACCTTGGGTCTGGAGCATGGCACAGTCCGGCCACCTGCAACAGACACCATGCTGGGGCTGCTGCCAGGCCCGTCCTCATTGTCCCAGGCTCCAGGCACCGGGCCAGTCCCGCCCCGCCGCCAGGCCTAACTTCTCCTGCCGCACTGTGGGTCCTGCTTCCTGGGGCTGACAGGTTGGCAGGGCTGTCCCTCCCCTGCCCTGCAGACAGCCAACTGTCCGGCTCCTGGAGGGCTCGGGCCCAGCACCATCCTCCCTGACCCCACCCCGGCACATTCCTGGCATTCACAGGCTCACTCCTCCCCAGTGATGCTGCTTCCGTTCTTCTCTCCCCACTTTCTGTTCTTGGGCCTCTCACTTTTGCTAAGTTGTGCAGAGGCTCTTGAAGCTTTGGGGGGGTCTGTAACCCCTGACCTTTGCTCTCTTGACAGCTCTCTTCCCTCCTCTTGGCATTTCTTCACTGCCTACTTTCTGCTATATCTGTAGATTCTTTGCCTCCTGGTGACCCCTGAGCCAAGTTCTTTCACAGGATCTCACTCCAAGATCAAATTCTCCTGGAGGCTGAGAATCCAAGTTTGGAAAATTTCCAGCCTTACTTTAAAATACTACCTGTTCCTGGCTGGGATCTTGGCCGGAGACATCACTTCTTCAAGCCTTGGCTTCCGCATCTGTTAAATGGGCACCCACCTAGCACCTACTTCTAAAAGCAGCACTTTAAAGTTCTTTTAAAGAGTAACAACCAAACTCTCAATGATGGTTATGATGTGCAAAGGCAGTGCTCTAAACACACAAGCTATCCGGTCCTCATCTCAATCCCACACTGCAATTCCCATTGCTCCGCCGAGGGCTCCAGGAGGCAGAGTGACATCCCCTTGGTGACTCAGCCCGGAAGGGCAGTGCTGAGCCCTGAACCCTGGGCAGATTTGGTGCTGGGTCCAAAGTATATAACCACAGAGCCATAACACCTATCACTGTGTCCAGGTGCCTGATGAACAGCACGTTCTCAATAAGCTGTGTGGTCCTGGGCAACTCCCTTTGCCTCTCTGAACCACAGCATTTCCATCAGTAAAATGGAGCTTTATTCCTTTACTGTCTTGTTGAGCATCTGCCATATCCCTGGCAGCACCCTAGGTGCCAGGAACAGACCCCAAAACAAGACAGATAAGAGGACTGCTCTCGTGGGGCTCACACACATGAGAACGTGAGTGGGGAGGGGGCATCACGAGAAAATGAGCCAGATTGTTTCCGGACTGTGGCAAAAACTATGAAACTAAGGCAGGTTGAGGGCAGCAGATGGGGCTTCTGAAAAGGGATCAGAAGAGACTTTTGAGCTAAGAATGGAATGCAAAGCCAGCCATGCAAAGACTTCAAGGAAGAGCATTGTGGGCAGAGGGAACAGCCCAGGCAAAGGCCGTGAGGTGGGAAACGGGCATGTTCTGTTAGAGGAAGGGCAGGGAGGTGGTCAAAATGGCATGGGCCAGGGCAAGGCAGTGGGAACCAAGGCTGGGCCAGCAAGAACAGGTGGCCCAGGGAGAAGAGGGATTTTACTCCCAGTGCAACAGAGGTCCTGGAGGCTATGTCCCAACTCCTCTGCTTGGGATTGAGAGAGGACCAGAGAGAAAAGGCCACTCAGAACTTCTGCTGACCATGGCCTGGGCTCCGCTGTGGCAAAGCACTCCTGGCCCTCCCATCTGCGGCCATAGTGGACACATAGTGGCTGTGGGCACAGTGCCAGGCCAGAACCCGGAACAGAGCAGGGCACGGTCCAGGATCTTTCAGGGACATCCACTGTTTGAGTGGCTTAAGAATCTGAGAGCCCAGAGGCTCCCTTCAAAGTATAAGGAAACACTGGCCCCAGAGGGCTGGGGCCAGCCTCACCCACTCCTGCTAGGAGACCGTGGCTGTCTCAACATGGCCTCCCAGCCTGACCCCCAGCTCTGCCCCTGCCCATCTTCCTGGTTTGGGAGAGGATCGGGCTTCCTCCGACTCCTCTGTCTGCACAGGTACCTTCCTGGGCTATGCAGGACCAGCCTAGAGGCGCTGGTGTCTCCTAGGGTGACAGGAAAGTACTTCCTTCCCTGCCCTCTGGCTCAGAAGACTTTGGGCGCCTCCTAAACAGATGCCTCAGGTGACACAGGACTCGCCTTCACGCGGTTCCCCTGGTGTGAGACGCACCCTTTCTGTGTGTCTTTGTTGGGACAGGAGGCACCCTTGCTCTTCAACTCTGTCCTCCATGAGCCAGGCTGTCCCATGTCTTCTCCCAGGATAGTTTTGCTTCTACCATGTAAGTGCAATGACCCTCAGAAGTGACACCTTTAACTTCTGGCCTCTCAAACTCCATTCCATTGATGGCTACCAGTCTCTGTACTCCCAGGGCCTTCCCACAAAATGTTACATCCCCAGTCCTTTTTTTAATGTTTTACTAAGTTGCCTGGGTGAGGCTCGAACTTGCATTCCTCCTGCCAAGTGCTGGGATTGTAGGGATGCACCACCGTGTCAGTCTTCCTCTTAAATAACTCCAGCTTCCTGGGTGACAGTCTTTCCTCTTTGGACTTCTGGACTCTTCATTTTCCTTCTACTCCTCTGAGGGGCCAGCTCTGCAGTCCAACTCTCTACTCCCTTCCCCCAAAATCTGGAATTCACAAGGTAGACTCTGTGGTCTCAGTTTCCTCTCTATCCCCAGGCCTGGATTCTCTTCTGAGTCCCAGACTGAGGGTCCCACAGCCTCTTAGACACCTTCCTCTAGAATGTTCTCGTCTCTTTCCACCCACACTGGCCTCTATGCCTCTACCAATCTGGTCTTTGTTTCGTTTTGTTCCAGAAATTGAATCCAGGTGTCTCCGAGGTATATCCCCAGCCGCCTTTTTATTTTAGTTTAGTTTAGGGTCTTGCTAAGTCCCCCAGGCTGGGCTCAAACTTGCAATCTTCCTGCCTCAGGCTCCCAAGGAACTAGATTACAGAGGAACACAATGCCCAGCTGCAAATCTGCTCTCCCTCACAGGTCCTGTCTCAGAGGTCCTTGTCCCCAGGACACTTCCCTCCCCCTACAGCCTCCCAGTTCCCCAGCCCATCAGACCTCTTGGGTGACTCTCCTGTCCCCCTTCCTTCCCTTCCCCCAGTCCCACCTTGGTCCAGCCCCATCTGACTGCTGAGCTCCTGCTTCCCTCTGGAGCAATATGGACCCTGGAAAACTTACTGAATACCAAACCCAACTCATCCTTTTACCTAGAACCCTCTATGACTCCCGCAGGACGGAGTGTAGAGCCCTCATCCCAGCATTTCCAACCTTGTCGGATATAAGCACAGCTTTTAAAGATCTAACGTCTAAATGTATATCTCCTCAAATTCTGAGACAGCCCCGGGCCATTGTCAAACACGTAACAGAGCTTCCAGAGAGCAACCCAACTATAAAACTTGAAAAAATCCCAGTTAGAAAAGAAAAACAAAGACTAACCACTAGCACCACCTTGTGGAGAGACCCATCACCACCAAGGAATCTCCCGCTTCACCTTGGTCCCAATAGAGTCTGGTCCAACAGCTAGGGGAACTCATGGACCACCCAGCTCCACTTCCATCCTCCCCTCCAGACACTCCAGTGCCATCTGCGTGCCTTACACATGGGCACTCTGCCACCCCTGCTTCCAGCATGCTCCGCCTCTTCCTGGCTCATCCCATCTGCTCCCTATCCTCCCTTGAGTCATCTCAATGCCAAGGCCCAAGGCACTGCGACCTTTGGGGACACTTTAAAAGCAGTAACAGTGACACCAGTGGTGTCACTGACATGGCCATGGCTCTCAGGATCCCCCACCAACTCACAGCTCTGCCCTAACCCTGTTCTCTTCTGCACCGTCTTTACACCTCTGCCGCTGACAATTAGGAAGGGACTGCTGCTGTCACTTATAGGTGAGGAAAGGAGGGCCAAATAGGTGGAGCCACCAGCTCTGCAGTCACCCAGCAAGCAGGTGCAACATCAAAGCCATCAACACCTGCACCTAGATGTGACCCCTGCACCGCAAGCTTCTAGGAATACCCCAGGCCCCCTCTGCATCTCTCCCTTTGTAGCCAGACCTATCTCTGCCCATCCCAGCATTTTCTGCTTTTCTTTCCTGGGTCATTCACCCACAGGCCCCAACCCTGGCACCTCCCTTCCATCAGCTCCAGGAAAGAAACAGCACAAAGGGGCCAGGCCCTGCACCCGCCTGCTCAGCCAGGGTGTGGCACCTTCTCCCAAGTGACTGGGAGCTTGGGTTCACTCTGGATCCCAACTGAACGGTTTGGGGCCTGAGTTGCTATCTGCACCAAAACTGAGAGCCAAAGAAGCCAGAGAATTGTGCTAATCATTTCAGTCAATGTGTTCAGTGCTTCCTCACACCCGGCCATGAGCTCTGTGGTACTATCATCCCTGTTTTGCAAGGAAAGTGGAGCCCAGGGAGGGTTAGTTGCTTGCCCAGAGCCATGCAGCTAGAAAGTGCTCCTCTCCATCATCCCTGCTGCAGCTTCTGCCCTGTCTCTGCCCTCTCCGTCCCTCAGGGCTGAGTCCAAAGTCCTCCCTCTGCTCTTCTGTGACACAGCCAGGAGGCGGGAGGACTGTCTGGAATTGGTGGGGGTCCTGGGTCCCCATCATGACAGCTCCAGGGTATGTCCTGAGCCCCATGCTCCCACCAACCTCATAGAGGGAGAATTAGGATCTGTACTTGACCAGGGGGAAACTGAAGCTTGGAGAAATAATGTCGCTTGCACAAGATCACACAGCGAAAAAGGAGCCGAGGCAGACTCAGATGCAGGCCTGTGCGTGTGACTCTAGGACCCGAGTCCTTAACCATGACAACTTTGGCAGTGTCCCCACCTCAGCCTCAAGTAGAGGTCGGGTCCAGGGTTAGTTGAAAAATCACTGAGGAAGAGGCAGTGAGAGGAAACTGAGGTAGGGCACCGGGAATGTCATACAGGGTGGCAGGAAGGCAGGTGATGACAGAGCCCCACAGAAAATTTGGTTAATATTTAATCAGGGGCAAGAGGCCTCAGAGGGGTGGAGTGGGCCTGGGAGGGGTGCCTAGAATTAGGGGGCTCTGTGGGATGGAGGGTAAAGGAGAGAATATGGCAGGAGGGGCACCAGGCAGAGCTAAAGTTGGGGCTCAGGTAAGGGGGACTCACCCTCCTTCTCAGCCATGTCACAGCCTCTCGTTAATGATTCCCCGGCTGACCTCCTAGGCCGGGGCGGGACCTGTGGGGAGATGAACAAGGAGGCAGGACCGGGGGAGCCCAGCCCAGCCCAGGCCTGTGCCCCCAGTCCCAGGCGTCCATCCAGGGAGGATGGAGGGACTGGGCCCTGGCCAGAGCATGCCATGATCACGAGTGTGGACTAGGCTGGGTTCAAGGATGGGGTCAGTGTCTGCCCAGCGCCAGGGGGACGACTGGGTTTGCAGGGCTGAGGACTCCCAAGTCTGAGCCTGAGGAGGAGGAGGCTGAGGATTGGAGCTCCTGGGTCTGAGGGAAAAGAGGGCTGAGGGGTTGGAGAAGGAGGAATCTGGGGGCCAGGACTCCTTGGCATGAGGGAAGATGGGTCTGGAGCCTGGACTCCTGGGTCCGTTCTCTGAGTCTGATGAGAGAACGGGTTGGAACTCCGAGGCCCTCGGGGAGAAGTCAGTCCATTCTTGGGGCCCCTGTATTGGGAGGTAGGCATCAGGCTGGGTGGGGGGTAAGGGAACCCATGTCCTCAGGACTCCAACTATGAGGCTGAAGGCCCTGGTCCTTACCCTGGGGTCCGGCTGGTGAGGGCAGGGCCTCGAGGTGGTGCCGGCTTAGGGCTCAGTCTCCAGGCCTTGGCAGAAGCATGGTGGCCCTGCAGCGGAGGGCGGCCTGGGAGGCAGAGGCGGCGGGTGGCAGCGGCGGGGCGGCGTGGGGCCTGCTAGGCCGGGCTGCCTCACCTGAGGAGGAGGGGGCTGGGCAGGAGGCGGGGGAAGGGGCGGGGAGGGGCTGGACCGCAGGATTGGCAGCGCCAGAGGCCACCTGGCTGGCGGGCCGGACTGGCAGGGGTTGGACCAGGCAAGCCCAGCCACCAGCCTGGCAGGGGACCTGCAGAGGGGCTCAGGTGTGTCTGTGGGAGTGGGCCAGGGGCGCCTGGGGACTGGAGGGTGCAAGTCGCAATGCCAGGGACTGCTGCCCCAGCCCACTCTGCTCTGCTGGGATTTCTCTCACTTCTGCCAGGCCCCAGGCCCCACCTACTGCCAGTCTCAGCTTCAGCCCTGGGCCTTTCCCTGGCCCCCTTCCCTTCACTAACCCCTGTTGCCTCTGTCCCTTCCCTGGTCCCCAGCCTAGCCTAGCCCAGGCCCAGCTGGCATTGCCCTGTTCATCCTCCCCCCAGCCCCCTCCCCCGGCTGCTTTCCTACAAGTCACGGGGGTTGGTTTGCTTTGGCAGCCTCTCTGCAGCCTGCCCAGTGACCTCTGGAGCCAGGAAAGTCCTTGATAGGGGGGAGGGGGGATTGGCCTGGAAAAGGCCACACAGAGTGCTCAGGGCCAGGCCAAGTGGCCGGAAGATACACACTGTCTCGCCAGCAGCCAAGAGCCATCCACGTCAGACCCCAGAGCCAGATAAACACCCAGACAGGCCAGTGACGCTGCTCATCCCAGATTGACTGTGCCCACAAAATCGAGCCCACCTGCTCACCCACACGTGCCCTCTGTGCCCAGTCCACCCACAGACCTGTAACCTGTCTCAGTGGGACACACTGGTGTCACTTAGCTGGGGGCCATCCCTCATCTCTCTGTCCCCGGTGCTCTCTCCCCCCACCCATTCCCACTTCTTCAGAGCTTTGCCTCTTTTCCCCTAAGCCCAGAGCGACCTGCTGCTCCTGTCCTATCTCCTCCCCACCCTCTCCCCTGAGCTAATAACTCCCCTCAACTGCGACACTAGCAAGTGTTAAGTGGCTTCACCATGCCCATTCACCTCTAAATATACATAGTAGAGACTGGCTCCCAGCTGGGAGAGGAGGGGTCCCTGGGGAAACTGAGGCAGTTACATTTGGGGCAGGACATAGAAGGTGCTGGAGCTCAAGAGAGAGACGGTAAATCAAGTCCAAGAATCTTTATTTCAAGAACAAAACTACTTCTGTGGAGACAGAGGCAGAACGGGCCCCTTTCTGAGTGGCCACAGTAGAAGGCTGGTGAAAGGGGGCATGGGGCCAGGGCCAGAGTGCATCACAGGGAGAGGGGACCCCAGGTCCAGCCAGAGGAAGCAGGAGGGGACACGATGCTGGGAGCTGCAGTGGGGCCAGAACCCCCTGCCCCGGACTGTTCCGGGCTCCCATCACAACCCCCAGCCAGGCAGGGAGGGGCTGGCCCCAGCAGTGCATGTCTGAAGCTGGCCAATGTGTGCAAATCAGCAAGAAGGAGGGATGCGGAGCCGCTGCCCCTGCCTCGCCGCCCCCTCCTCAACAGGCAGCAGAAGCAAGGGTGGGGGCAGCGGCAGTATTGCTTTACCCATCATGCATGGCGGTAGGTGGCCCTTGGGACAGGAGGAAGGCTGGGTGAGGAGTGTGCAGGGCGCCAGTCCCCCTGTCCCCTCCCGTCCCGACGGCTCAGGACTCTGAGGCAGGGGGAGGCCCGGAACACCATCCCCCACTGCGGCCAGGCGCGCCTAGGTGTCCCCTTTTAGAGCTGGCTCTTCCTTGAGGCGGAGCCCAGGGCCTACAAGGGAGGGAGGGAGAGGGAATAATGGACGGGGGTGGGGGCCTGAAACCCTCCCAGGCCCTCTTCCCCACCACCCACCTTACCTGGGCTATTCAGCCACCTGGACACCTGTACAGTTCTCCTTGCTCTCTGAGGTGATGGCCAGGTATTCTGAGCTGTAGGGGAAAGCAGGGGTACAGTGACTCCCACAGCCAGTCTGGCCCAACGCCCCACAGAACAAGGCAGTCCAGGGCCTGACACAACCACCCCATCCCACCTCTGACACCCGCACTCGGCCCCAGGGGGCACTGACAGGTGCCATCCTGGGTTCCTCCCCTCTCCAGTCCCTCCTCGCCAACCCCACTCACGCATTCTCTTGGGCAGCAGCCTCCGTGGCGGCGGCGATCTTCTTATAACAGTAAACCATCTCTGCTACCAGCCATATCGTCAACACCACGATGAGCACGTACATCATGATCTCGGACACGATGGACGCCATGTCTCTGTTGGCTGGCAGGGCCAAGGGCATGCTTGAGACCCAGGCTCGGAAGACATGACAGCCCGAGTGTGTGGCACCCTTGCTGAGCAAGCTGCGGCAAGTGGCTTGACCTCCCTGGGCCTGGGCCACAGACAGGACAGTCATGCTGCACCCACTCCTCAGACAGACCTGAGGATCACTCTCAATCTGCCTCCTTGTATAACTAGAGGCCGCATCTGTGTCATTCGGGAAGCTGTCAGCACAATGCCTAAGAGCTTGAAACTGCAACCAAAAGGCTGGGGTTCAAATCCTGGCTCTGCCATTTGCCAGCTGTGTGACCTTGGGCACCTGACTCAACCTTTCTGGGCCTCCATTTCCTCAAATGCAAAAAGCTGCTAACCATAAAATCTCCTATACTGAGGTATTGTGAGAATAAACTTCTAAAAATCTTTAGAACAAACTGGATGTGATGGCAAACACCTTTAATCCCAGTACTTGAAGACGCTGAGGTGGAGGACGGCAAGTTTAAGCACAGCCTGGGCAATTTAGCAACTTAGCAAAAGCCTGTCTCAAAATTTAAAGGGTCGCCAGGCTGGTGGTGCACTCCTGTAATTCCAGCACTGGGGAGGCTGCTGAGTTCAAGGCCAGCCTAGGCTACATAGTGAGATCCTGTCTCAAAAAACCAAAAACCAAACAAACAAAAACTTAAAAGTAAAAAAGGGATGGGGACAAAGCTCAGTGAGAAGGACTGGGTTTAATCTCCAATACTGCAAAATAAATACAATTAAAAATATCCTTGGGCTGGGGATTTAGCTCAGTGGTTCGCTGCCTGCCTCTCCAGCACAACGACCCGAGTTCGATCCTTGATATCAAAAACAAACAAACAACAACAAAAAAAACCCAAAACCAAATATATCCTTAAAATAGTACTTGACCTATCAATAGCACTCAATAAATATTTATTACTTTACTATTACTCCTTCGACTACTACTGTTACAATTAAGGACGAACAGCATAATGGTTAGGAGTAGGGGCCCCAGGCCCAGATTGCTAGGGTTTAAGTCCTAGCTCTGCCTTTGATGAGCTGGCAAGTTTAGGCAAATGACTCTACCTGTCTGGGCCTTGAACCTCCTTCTGTAAAATGAGTATGGTAATACTCTTACAGCCCCCGGGACTGCTGGGAAGAGGAAATGAGTTAACATCCATAACATGGGTGGCTGAGCTTGCAGCCGGCACTGTGTTGGCTATTTTCTGGACACTCTGCATCCTTCCACAGCGCTGGCCCTCGCCACCGCCAGCTTCCTTTCATTGAGCCTAAATTTAAACTGCAAAGGGAGCACAATCAGCTAGGGGATCAGACGACTCTGGCGTCCTCCACTGGATCTCGAAGGTATCCATCCTGCACCTCTGGCCCCTCTATGACCTCATTCCCCCTGCTGCTGTCCTCATGCATCTTCCTCCCTGCAGGCCAGGCACCATCTGCTGCTCCACCCTGAGCAGAGGACAGAAAGCTTTCCAGGCCAGGATAGGGAGAGGAAAGGCCTGGATGGTCCCTATACCTTCCCTGGAGGAGGACTCAGGAAAAAGTTCCACATTCCCTTCACTCATTCATTCACCCAGTGGAAGTCACTGATGCCTTTCCTGCCGGGAGTAGTTGCTGTCAGCCATGCTATGATCTGAGCATCTTCCTGGCTCCTCGGAACAGCCCCAAGCACAGGACCATCAGGCTCCTGGGTCAGCAGCCACACTGAGTTACATCCTGGAGAGCTACAGCTCCACTGTCTAAATCTTACCTTTCTCCCGGAAACAGATGCCCAAATAGATTTCTGTGACATGGCCTCTCTGCTCTCCCAATCAGACTAGGATAGCCATTATATTAGATTAGGATTAGCAATTAGATTAGGATAGTGATCATATTGGAGACAGGCAGGGCCCTGCAGCCATTCTTCCAGACAGATCACTGAGGCGCTAAGAGGGACAGGCACTGGCCTGAGAACACACAGCCAGGATGGGCCTGGGAGCCAGGGTCCGAGTGTAACGGATGCAACACTCTGAGCTCTCATCTGCTCTGGGAGCCACCAGCGGCCAAAGACAGACCACAGGCATCTCAGGAGGTGGGAGGGTCAGGACCCCACTCTACAGATGAGGAGCTGAGGCAGAGGGGAGCTTCACATGGGGTCACCTTCAGTGGCACCTTCTCTGGGGAGCCCCATGATTTCTTAAAACCCCAGACTTCTAAGTGTGCTGCCTGCCTGCTCACACAGGCAGCCCCAGATCCAAAGCCCCTACTGCATCACTGCAGGCTGATTTCTATCAACCCCAGGCACCGTTAACCTCGAGACATTTTCCACTCCCGCCCTCTACCCTTATTGTCCCATCTGCTGCTAATGCCTCCAGTGGGCTTCCTGCCATCTTCTATACCCCTTCCATGTCGGTGGCATTCTCACTACCAGCCCTGGATGTGACTCGGCTCATCCCTGGGGGCCACTAGCAGGAGGTGTTGTGGGCTGATGGTAACACCAAAACCACAGTGAAACAGCAAGTAAAAACAATTCTAAGCCAGACATGTGCAGCATGCCTGTAATCCCAGCACTTTGGGAGGCTGAGGCAGGAGGATCACAATTTTGACCCCAGCCTGGGCAACTTAATGGCTTTGTGAAACCCTTTCTCTGTGTCAAAATCTAAAAAAAAAAAAAAAAAAAGTGGGCTGGGGATGGCCACTGATGTTAACAATACAACAACATCACAAGGAATGTAAAATACTGTAGTGTGATATCATGTTGAAAATACTACAATATCCTGGGTAATGGTGAGTGTAGTGCAGTATAACAAGCTACACTGAACATCACTGCAATTCGAACCATAATATTTCAAAATACCAGAGCACAGAACGGTAGGTAATAATAAAAACATGATAGTATGGCAGAGAACATTAAAAATACTCTAGTTCTATGGGTTATAAAAATACTGTTGTCTGGCCATGTCGAAACAGTATTACAGAAGGGAGTAGCATATGACTGTAATCCCAGTACTCTAAGAGGCCAAGGCAAATTTCACCCCCAACCTGGGCAACTTAGCAAAATCCTCAAAATTAAAAATTAAAAAGAGCTGGGATTTAGCTCAGTATGAAGGCCCTGGGTTTAATCCCTAGCACTGAAAAAAGGGCAAAATTACAGTGGATAGATAATACTAAAATATGGTGGATTGTGTTAAAAACACAGTCTCACGAGACCACACAAACAGCTCTATATCATGGTAAATGTGGTTTAAAATGCAGGCTCTGGGAGGTGACATACTTCGGTAGCTAACGTGAGACAAAGGCTCACGGTCACAGGTAGGGGCACCCCAGGAGCCAGGGCCCCTAAGTAAGATGGAAAGAGGCCTGGTGACAGTGTCCTGGGATCTCCCACCCTCTCCTTGGCACTGATTTGCAAGGGGAAGAACTAAGTTTTGTTGCCCCACCATCTGGGACTCTTTGTTACAGCCACTCCGCTGTATCCCACTCTCAGGGCTGACCATCCACCCAGCAGGGTAACACCCACCCTGCAGCCCGAGTGGCTCATGCATACCTTCCAAATTGCCTTCTGCTGCTGTAGCCCTTTGAAGAAAGGTAGAAATGCTAATTCTGGAAAGAATCCCACAGGCAAGGCTGAGGAGAACAGTGATTCACACTGAGGACAGAACCCACAGTCACCTGATGGTGGGGGATCAAATCCAGCTCCCAACCACGTGACCTGGGCCCCATGATCCACTCCCTGAGCTCAGCTTCCTCATCTGTACAGTGGGGATAGTAAGATCCCTACCTCAGAGGTGGCTGGAGGGTTCAGCAGGGCCTTCACCAGGGGCACCAAGGCCTCCACCTGTCTGGTGAAAAGGAAGGATGCTGCCTGCCGCCAGACTGATGTGCTCGCTGGGCCCCAGGGGATGTACTTGTCATGGCTCTTTTCTGGCTTAAGGCCTGGAATAGCTCCCTGACTCTGGGAGCCAATGGGCCACAGGGCCCTGGAAAATTCCCAAGGTGTGCTGAGGAGAAGATGGCCCAGAAGGGGAGGAGCTCCCTCAGAGAAGGGAAGCAGCTGAAGCCACATGTGGAGATGGCACTGCCTTGCTTGGATCCCGGGGCTCCCCCTGTGGCCCCAGATCTGTAGCACTGGCCTCGCCGAGAGCTTATGAGACCCTACTTCTGGGTCACCCGCACCTGCGGAGTAAGGCCGAGCAAGTCCACGGGACCCCCTGCTGGCTGGAGTGCAGGGTAGCATTTGAGGAGCCACTCTGAGTGACACACTCTGCCCAGACAGAAGGAGTTAGGGCAAAGGCTACTCAACAAGCAGAGCTGCTAGGCTTAGTGGTACATACCTATAAACCTAGCAATCTGGGAGGCTGAGGCAGGAAGATTGCAAGTTTGACTCCAGCCTGGGCAACTCAACAACTTAAGAGAGATTCTGTCTCAAAACAAAAAATAAAACAGGGCTGGGGATGTAGCTCAATGTGAAGGCCTTGGGATTAATTCCCAGTACTGTAAACAACAACAAAAAACCCACAAAACAAAAAACAAAATAAAAAAATACGAGCCAAGGCCCTCACCCAGGCAAATACCGTACTACTGTGAGCTGAGCCCAAGCAGCAAGTGACACCTAGCATGGTGTTCAATCTTCTTAACCTCCTGAGGCAGAGGAACAGCTCAAGTAACACCCTGGCAGGTGGGCACAGTGAGCATCCCTCTGTCCAGCAGGACCACTCTGAGGCACAGAGACAGCCAGGCACCTGAAGAAGGTGACACAGCACGGGCACCAGAGCTGGGATTTGCACCTACAATATCCGTGGGGAGAACTCTACTTTGACCTCTCCATGGGCTGTAAGTAAGTAGGAGCCACAGCCAGAATGGATGGGGGTGCTGCTCTCCCCACTGTAGCATGAAAGTTGGCTGACCCAGGCACAGAGCCAGCCTGTCCCCTACCTGCCATCTGTCCCTCCATCTGGTTTACTACTGAGTGACAGGCAGGACTCACCTTTGTCCACCACCTCAAGGTGGATCTTCTTGACAACGCTGGTGTTGTGCTCATAGTTCTCAAAGAAGAGCAGGCGGTAGACGTGGCATTCGTAGTCACCCGAGTGGTTGTAGGTGACATTGGTGATGAAGATGGACAGGTCCTGCAGGTCCTTAGTGCCCCGGCTGCCATTCCACACCACACGGCCCTCGAAACGTTCATCCTCCTCCAGCTGTAGCACCTCATTTTCATAGCGCAGGATCTTGGGGACCCCAGGGGTGGGGTGGGGTGGGGTCACTGCCTGGGCCAGTCTCCCCAGCCCTGACCCCAATATTGACTCTGCCCTGGCACACACAGACACCAATGGCACACATGGGCTTAGGCACCTTCACCTTGGGCAAGGAGGGCACAGGGGCCTGGATCGTGCCTGGGTCCATCCCAGACTCTGAGACACATAAAGACTCTCACAGCCCCCAGTCATTCATTGCCCCAAGCCTCGTGGGGCTTCCCGACCCTCTTTCTCAGTGGTCCTTCCCCCGTCACCAACACACTCCTCAGGCAGGGACTGGGACGCCTGATCCCAGGTGCCGCCAGCCCCAATTCTCCAGCAGGTGGTAAAAGTCAGTGGTGCCTCCAATATGTAACTCACACATACGCACATAGCGTAAAGGAGGTTTTAAAAGGCTCCACTTTCCCTTCATGATGACTGTCCAGGACATCTCTGCTGGTGACAAGTAATTCCAGTGACATTTATTTCATGCCAGCCCTGTGTGTCAGGAGCATGAACTCACACAAACCTCTGGGCGAGAGACCATCACTGCCTCATCCTTAGAGAGAGGGTCAATGCCTTGCCCAAGGTCACCGGCTGATCAGGGTGCAGCCAGAATTTGAGTCCAGGTCATTAATCACAGCCACACTGTTCTCATTAAAACAAGCAAACAAACAACACCCCCATCTTGAAATCCAGCCTCACTGTCTCCCCCACATGGACACCACCCTCCCGTACCTGCGCCGGTCGCCCACACACCTTGACAAACTCCTCTGTCCCCTTCTGGCGGAAGGTCCACTCGGTGAAGGTCTCAGCCGTGGTCTCACTGCGCCGCTTGCAGGAGATGCACAGAATTTTGAAGGTCATCCCATACACAGCCTCGGTCTCCGAGTCCACCTCCACACAGCCCCCCCAGGCCGAGGACACTGTGGGGACAGCAGGCTCCAGTTGGGCAAGGCACTCCTCACCCCAGGCGCTACCAGGCTCACTGGTTGCTGGCTCTCAGGGCCCTCGGAAACCATCTGATCACAGAGGGACAGCACTAGAGCCAAGCCTGCCCCACACTTGCTGTGTGACCTTGGCAAGTCACTCATCTTCTCTGGGCCTCAGTTTCCCTCTCTGTTAAGTGAACAGTGGCAATGTTGTTTTCAGCAGTTGTTAGGCAGAAATCTCATAGCACTCGGGAGGCCCCAGTACTCAGGGCTCAGTGTGGCCCGTTACTCTGTCTTCTACACCGAAGGAGAACGAATGGAGGTGGAGGGACTGGAATTCCAGGTGCTTTAGAAGTTCAAGGTGGCGGAGCCATTCCCACCATTAAACTGGTCTGCAAAGCCAGCCTTGGTTTGCGAGAAGTCTTCAGCCGGGCAGAACACACTCCAGCCTTGCTGCCTCCTCCCACAGGCCCCTGAGAGATCCATCCTCTCCCAGACTTCGACCTCTTCCTCTACTCTCCAGGCTCCATCACCTCCAGGCCCCCACCCACCTAGCAGCTTCTCAAAAGCTCTTTCCTATCTCAGGGCCTTTGCACTTCCACTGGATTCCAGCCTTTCTGGGTTCCTCCTTCACCCTCTTCTCGCTTCCAGTGCCTACTAGCTACTTCGTGGGTCTTTTCCATGTCCCTCAATCCTCAGGGCTTCTTGTCTGCCTCCCTTGCTCTCTCATCTCCGTGAGCTCCTCTCCCATCTTTAGCCCTCTCTGGGGTCTCTCTGAAGGTCCTATCACTTCTCGTCCTCTTACCTGCTCAGACTCACCTTTCCAAGTCTCTCCCTTTCAAACTCCCTCCCTGCTCTCTCCACCTCTCCTTGCCTCTCAAGTTTCCCTCTCCCTCGCTCACACTCCACTCCTTTTCTCACCTCCGCCCCCCACCCGGCCCGCACCGGGTCTCCCCGCCCAGGACCTTCTGGTCTCTGCCTCCTCCCTCCGTCTCCGTCGTCTCCCGTCCGTCCCAGTCTCCTCGCACCGCCTCCCCCAAGCCTCCCGCGGCTGTGGGTGTCACATTGCAGCCTGCGGGGCTCTGGGAGCAGCTGACTCCGCGTTTTCTTGCCCCCCCCCCCCCGCTGGGCGCCCGCAGCCTCGAGGCCGAGCCAACGCGGCCCCGCCCGCTCTCGCCGCCCCCCCCCCCCGCACCTCCGCCTCCCCACCGGCCCGGCGACCCGCGCGCAACTTCTAAAGCGGACTTCGCCGGCCGGGGGCGGGCGGGGGGCGACCCCGGCGCGGCCACCGCGAGTCCCGAGGGCGAACCTCGCCGCCCCGCCGGTGCCGGCTGCGCCCCCCTAACACTCACCTAGTGCAGCGCCGACCACGAAGGCCAGCAGCGTCCCCATGGCCGCGCCGCGCGCTGCGCCCCGCTCCCGGGCAGCCGGTATTAATAGCGGGGCGAGAGGCGGCGGGTAGGATGTCCCCGGAGCGCGGGCGCAGCAGCTGCGGCTCTGGGACCGGCGAGGGGGAGGGGGGGCGCGGCCCCCCCGCTCCGGTTACCGCCGGGGGCCCAGCCCCGGGGCCCGGCGTCCAGGCATCCCCGCCGCGCGGGCGGCCGCTGCTCGGGCTGCTGCGCTGGCGCGCGCCGCGGAGCACATCCGCCAGGTGCCCCGACCCCGGCCCCGCTCCGGCTCGGGCGCGCTGGGGCGCGGACCGCTGTCTCCTGCGCACTGCAGCGGCGGTGGCGGCGGCGGCGGCGGCGGCCCGGGAGGGAGGGAGGGAGGGGGCGGGATGAATCACCGCGGGGGGGGGGGGCGGGGGGAGGGGGCGGGCGCCCAGCCTTTGCTGCAGCGGCGGGAGGCGCCCGGCGCACCGGCCTCTCGCACCGGCCTCTCGGGTGGCGCAGGGACAGGCACTGCTAGGGTGGTCTGGGTGTGTGCGACCCCGCCGGACTCTGGGACCTCCTATCTTCCCAGTATGAGAAAGGTCACCCCCGAGACGCACAAGAGACTTAGCGGGCAGTTTGGGGACGGACTCCCTTCTCCAAATTATGGAGGTCATCCTCACGATTTCCAGGGGGACTAGGCTGGGACATCCAAGCGAACTGCCCCTAAGAGCCCTGGAGGTCACCGTGGCAAGTGGGCATGAGGCAGGGGGTTCAGGCTACATCTACTACTCCAGGCCCCACCTAAGCAAGAGGAGCACCCTGAGTCCAAACCAGAGATGCTGCTCTGGGGTGTGGAGGCGCTGTGTTTCAGGAGGACCATTCAGGGGACCCCCCTCACCGTGTCTCTGAGTCATGTCCCTCTCTCCTCTGCTCCATCTGTCTAGGCCTCTCCCTGCACAGAGCTCACTCCTGCCTCAGGGCCTTTGCCTGGACCCACCACTCTCCCCCAGGTGACCAGGTTACTCCTTAACCTCCTAAAGCTCTTGGCTTCAATGTCACTTTGGTCAGGTCTTCTTTGTCCATTCAGGCTACACTGCTTCTTTTGCCACTGACTTGACCTCCTTTTCCTCCTGTGTAGTTGTCACTACCTAACATCTTTTGAGTAGTTTATCTGTTCAGTCAGTCACCTGTGCCTCCAACTGTGACATGGAAATTCCCCCAGGGTGAGGCCACTGTCCTTGGCACCACTGTGTCATGGCCTCTGGAACTGTGCCTGGCACACTGTAGGTGCTCGATGAAGAAATAAACATCAGTGCTTATTAGACCCTTCTGGTTTGCTGAACCCACTACTGCTTCCCAAGACTTTTTGGCAAGTTCAATGATTCATTTTACAAATGAAGAAACTTAGGGCTAAGGGATTTGGACTCCTGCTCATCAGTGGGGGGTGACTGAGACCAGTATTCTGCCAAAGGGAGGGAATGAGAAGGCGACTCTGAGCTCTTGGGACCAGGCTGGGAGTGAGACTCTTGGCCGGGGGGTGGCTGCCCAGGTCCTAGCTTCTAGTTCTGGTTGGGGACCAGAATTCCCCTGGCCATTCCACACCAGCCTAAGGGTGTGGGGCACATCCAGGACAGAGGGGCAGAGATCCAGGGACACCAGAGACTTTTGTGGTCTGGGCTTTTATGCCAGCACCTCCCAAGCTGTGACATTCCCCTGCAGAAAATAGCTACCTTGCTGTTCCCTGGTGGGGGATGGTAGGTGGTGGCACCGTGAGGACAGGCCTTAGCAATGGGGAGGGGGCAGCTCTACAGTCCTGCAAGCTGCCTGGGCACCTGCTATGGGCTTGGTCCTGTGGGTATTGGCATTATGACCAGTTTACACCTATGGGAAACCAAGGTACAGAGCGGGCAGCTGGCTCTGACCACACAGCTATAAGGTAGGAGGGGCTGGTGATTTTTACAGGCTGTTACATGACTTGCCCAAGGTCTCTCATGACCTCTCCTTTCCTCTGAGTCCTACATGACCAGGACTTGCACCCCCCTGAATCTTCCTAATAGTGGTTCTCAAAGTATGGTCCCTGGGGAGTACTGTCAGCAGAGTCCCAGTCCTGAGCCAGCCCAAGTCAGAAACTCTGAGGCTTGGCGCCCCTTGCACTCCATTGTGTAGCAAGCTCTTCGGGAGATTCTTGTGCAGCTAAAGCGTGAGAAGCACTCACTTAAAGCAGCCCTGAGAGAAATGAGCTCCGACTGTGCCCATTATGCAGAAAAGGAAACAGGTTCAAAGCCACTGACTTGCTCAGGGTTACATGACTAAGTGGCAGCAGGTGAACCCAGGACACCAGGAACCACTCTGTCCTTTTAGCCCCTGCTTTGGGAACATGCTGGGGGAATCCCAGATGGCTTCAATGCCTACAGCCCCCCAAAATGGACAGATGCCTCCTCCCCGCCGCAGCAGGGTCTGAACACCAGGGAAAGCCCCTGCGCACTCCCAGGGCCCCACAACCACAGCTACAGCGATTTCCAACCCTTTATTGGAGCTTTGTCAGCCCCAAATAAATATAATACATTAAACCCAGAGCTGAGGGAATAGTGCACCCCAGGGGGTGCCCCCCACAACCCCAGCTGGGAAAAATAAGTTAGTGGGGGGCCTGCCAAAGAAAGGCCAGGCCAGCTCCCTGGCCAGACAGGTGATGGCAGCTGGACTCGCACACGCTGGTCTAAAGTGCATCTCGGTTCTGTGGTCCCCAGTTCTGCACGGCCCCTGGTCAGGCCACCGGGAGGGGTGGACAGGAGGTTTCCGGCGCTCACACCGTGCCAGCAGTGGCCACCGGGGCTCTGTGTGTCCTTCTGTCAGTTTGGGGGGACGGCTGTGTGGCCAGGCATCCTCAGGAGAAGCCGTCATCGGACCGTGGCTGGGTGTCAAAGTGAGGGTCTGAGACCGTGATCCCTTGATGCAGCTTCTCCAGTGAGAACTTCATCTGCCAGGAGAAGACGGCCAGTGTGAGGATGAGCACTGGCAGGGTGATGTCACCCACCCCTACTTGCAGCTGGGAGCCCCCCTGCCTCAGGTTACTTTATGAGAAGAGCAGAGCCACGCTGTGCTGTTGAGCTTCCCACAGGCAGTAGAAGACAGGCTTACTGTGAGCCAGGGTACCAGATGGCCTGGGTTCAAATGTTGGCTGTACTACTTACTTAGTGACCTTGGCAAGTTCCTTTGCTGTCTTGGGCTCTCATCTGAAACACGGGTCAGCAACAACCCTGCTTCACTAGACCCTGACTTGCAGCAAGTGCTCAGTGCACATTACCTATCATCACTTCCTCTTCATGACCTTGGGAAAGGTCAGGAACTTGGACCCAGGATCCTGTGCACCTCCTACCTATCTATAAAATGAGGTAACAAGAACATCCCCCAAGAAGGTTAGCTAGGAGGCTCAGGCTGGCAAGCATGCTCAGCACCTAACAGAGCCCACCTCTAGAATGTGCTCGGTGTGCACCTGCTATTGTCAGTCATCTGTGAAGTCAGTTCTGAGCCCTCGCAATTTAGCTCAGGATGGGGAGCCCTGCCCTTCCTCTATGAGTGACGGGGCTCCTGCCTTAAATCCTTCCCCACCCTGTCTTGTACAGCCCTTCCAGTGGGACTGTCTCCCTGTGTGCACCATTTAGGGTCCAAGTAGGCCCCAGAAGTGGGCCTCAGTTTATGGAAAGGTCTCACCACAGGGATTTTCACCATCACCTGCTACTTCGGCTCTGCTGCTCTCAGGAACCCAGCCAATGCTGGGCTCTCCCTAGTTTCCCATCCCGTCCCCACCACAGGCACCTACTGCAGCATCCCTCATTTGCTCTGCCAGAATCCACAGGGGCCCAAGGACATCTCCATGCGGTGACAGCATGTTTACTGAGCACCTACTGTGTAGCTGGTGCTAGGCTTACATATACAACATGCATCAAGTGTTCACTATGTTCCTGGCACTTTTCCAAAATGTTAACCCATTTAATCCTCACAAGAGGTAACATCAATTATGATCCGAGGTACAGTGGCAGCAGCCAAGGTCAAATGGTAAAAGTGCTTACACAGGTCACATATCAGGATTTGAACCCAGTCGTCTGCATAGATGTTGCCCTTGAACTACATGGGGTGTCGAGGTAACTCCCTCTTGGAGATGACACCTCAATATCTTTCAGAGAGGCACTTTCCACCCTCAGATCATGTGGCCCCTTCATCAGCCCAAAGTGGGGCAAGAGGACCAGGGACTAAGCTTAGCCCAGCCAGCCACCTGAATTGGCTCTAGAAGACAATGAGAGCTTTCCTTCTTCAGATGCCAGCCTGGAGCTGTGGGTACCACTTTGGTCATCCCGAGGAAACGAAAATGTCTCTAAAATAAAGTCCTCTCTGGGGATCAGCAGAGTCAAGAGATGGAGTCTTACCACCCCTGAGCAGCTGGATCCAGCCATGCCTGATGCTAGACCTCCTGGACTTTTTTCCCAGATGTGCACCAATATATTCCCTCCTCCATCCCACTGACTTCCCCAGCAGGGACTAAACCATAAAGTGGGAACTTCTCAGAGGAGGAAGCTAAGCAAGAGAGGGGAAGGCGTCTGAACACAGGGTCCCAGCCAGGGGCTGCCCCTACCTCGTCCAGGAGCTCCACAGAAGCCCGAAGGATCTGCCTCCACTTGTGTGTCTCCACGCTGTGAAACTGCTTCTGCAGGGCCAAGATCTCAGCCCACTCCGTGGCCGTCTGGGGGAACTTGCTGTGGGGACACAGAGCCTGAGTGAGGCCTTGGGCTCCCTCGCCTGCCCTAGCCCCCAACCCTGCAGGCGACACGCTCACCCCTTGGCCAGGGCCAGGCTGTGCCAGGACTCGATGGTGTGGGCTGTCCTCTCCAGCGACCAGAGGCGGTAGAAAAGAAGGGCGTTGAGGGCGATGAGGACGATGAGGCTGGGGGCAGGGGTCAAACGTCAGGGGTCAGGGGTCCCCGGGTTCCAGGGCTACCACAAGCCGGGCACTGAGCTCTGGATCTCCCCTCCATCCACAAGAACGACACCCTGCAGGGGACATGACCACACACCCCGCTCCTTCAAAGGACAAAACAGACTCAGAGAGGGTGGGAGACATCCTAGGGTCACGTGGCCCCCAAGCACAAAGGTCAGGTCCAAACACAGGGCTGTGTGGTGTCCACACCCTGGACCGCCCCACTGGGACACCTCCCAGGGAGACTCGGGCAAGGAGCAGGAAGAGAAGGCTGCAGGGCTCGAGCCTAGGGGAGGGGCAGGCGGAGGGTTCGGGCCCTACCTCACACAGATCCTGCGGAGGCGGCAAGGGAAAGACAAAGAGATGAGAGCCGCCCAGCCCTCCTCCTCCCCGGTGCCCTGAGCCGGCAGGTTCTACGGCCTCTCCTGGGCCACTGGTCTTGGGAAACTGAGACCCAGAGAGGCTGGGCGTGTGGCCGACCCTCCCCTCCCACCCACTTTCCCAGAATGCTCACCCGGTCACCCTCCCACACCCATGGGCCCCTGCATGCCCTGGTTTCCCAGCCCAGGTCCCAGCCCAGGTCCCAGCCCAGGTCCCAGCCCAGAGTCCTCGGCTTTCCCAGGAAGCTGGGGGCTGCCATCTGGGGGCTGAGAAGAAGCCTGCACTGCCTCCATGGCCTCTCCATCCTGGTCCCAGTCCCTCTGGCCTGGTATCCGGTCTGTCTCCCCTCAGGGCTGTTGGTCACTGCTGTGTCCCCACCATTACCCAGCTTAGGGCTGGGCCCAGAAAGCACACGTAAACCACACAAATGATCTTACTTCTTTTGCAAATCTCTCCCCATTCACCTGGCCAATTCCACATCCTGAAGCAACTGCTCCTCCAGAAACCTCCCAGCCCACCCCCACCCCCAGGTCTCTGCTCTTCCAGCAGGGAAGACTTCTCCATGACAAGAGGGGCATCTGTGCTGTGTCAGGAGCTCTGCTGGATTCATCCCAAACATCATCTCGTGTAATCCTAACTGGGAGGTGAGCCCACACTCCCAAGTAAGCAGAGAGGTCAAGCATTTGCCCAAGGTCACACAGCCAGCCTGCAGATCCAGGCCTTACTCACACAATGCTGATGAGAACCAGGGCGCTGGGGATGCCTGCCCCAGGGCCCTGGTCCATGGACGGCTCTGAGAATCGGGAGCTAAGGGAGCCTGTGGGACACCAAATCAGGGTCAGACAGCCACACCCAGGAGACCATGCCCCAGACCCTCCATCCAGCTCCTCCACCTGCCCCGACCACACTCCAAAGAACGCACCTGAGGTGTGCATGCCACCCCGGGCGCAGGGGTCAGGGTCTGCGTGCTGGGGCCCATCGCCGTGACCCCTCCAGCTCAGGGGCCGCTTCCGCCTCCGCAGGCCTGATAGCAAGCCCCGGGCATCCTTCCCGCCTTCCTCCAGGGACAGCTTCTCGGCCTTGGCTAGCTCTCGCTCTGGGGAAAGCAGAGGGGGCTCTGGATGTCTGTACCCAGCCGGGCCACAACTGTACCCGGCCCTGGCTGGCTCCTGTCCCCTACCCAGGTGGTGGAAATAATCTTCAATGCCACTCCATGAGTTCTTCTCAATGAGAGACTTGACAAGGCTCCATGGCTGCTTCCGGTAGCGGATCTCCGAGGACACCCTGGGGGCAGGGAGACAGGGGCGGGAGTGAGGGTCTGCCCTGTGCCTCAGGTGGGGTCTTTCCATCTTCTAATTCAGAGAGGACCTGCTGCTGCTCACAGACAAAACAACTTCCCCGATGCCAGCTAATGCACCCGGCCCCTTCTCCACTTGTGCCCTCTTCTTCAAAAGTCTCCTGGCTGCCTGGGCACCACCCTGCCCTCTCACACAGATTTCTTGGCCCAGACTTTGCCCCTGAACCTCTTGCATCTGGCTGCTGCACCCCACCTCTACATGGGGGCCTAGGAGACAGTTTGGCTGCACCCATCCCAAACTGAGCTCCTGATCACACTGCAGACCCCTTCCCTGTCCTGGTCAATGGCAGTTCCATCCTGTAGTGGATGGAAGGACACCTTGAGCTTGTCCTTGGCCCAACCCCCTTCCTTCCTTCGCATTCACAGGTGAACCCAGCCTCTCAGCAGACCCTGTCAGCTCCACCTACAGATCTGTCCAGAAACTAACTCTTCTCCCTCCACCACTCCACATGGCTCAGCCTTCATCCCCTCCTCCCTGGACATCACAGCAGCTTCTCCACATCCTTCCCTGCCTCAGGGCCTTTGCACTGGCCACCCCAAGTGACCTGCCCTCACCTCCTTCAGGTTCTTGGTGAAATATTCTCAGAGGACCATCCCTGACCAGAGTATTCAAAAAACCCTCTGCTGGACCACTCGCCCCTAATTTTTAACCTGCTTTTCTCCAAAGCCCTTATCACCAGGGAATATTTTTCACACTCACATAATCACTATTTTATTGGCCAATTCTCCCACTGAGATCAGGGTCTGGAACAGAACAGGCACACAGTAGGTGCTCAACAAACTTGAACAAATAAACTGTTCATCTGCACGCTCACTCTGTCACAGCTCCACATGTACTGCAGGCAGGAGGAACTGGCCCCAGTGCCTCTCTGTCTACCCTCTGCTATTCAGAATTCAGGGGGTCTCTGGAACCCAACTCTTGTGTTGGGCCAGGTGGGAACCAACACTCTGCTGCCAACTATGGGTGGGGAGAATGGGGAAGGGCGCTGCGACCATCAGGCAGGCTCCTGGCCGCTGCTTACCGGAGCCGGGCCTTGTTCCGGGCCAGGCCCAGAATGCAGTAGCGGTGGGCGGTGTAGAAGTAGTCCTGGTACGGGATGCCCTGGGTCAGCACCTCCGAGTCCACCACACAGCCGCCTGCCTGCGGGCCACGCCGGAACAGTGTCTGTGGGGTGCAGAGGAGGGAGGGGGATCAGGACCACCCCCGCGGCTCCCCTCCTGCCCTGCCACCTGCCCAGCCATGCCACCGGCCCACCTGCGTCTCCACCACCGAGGCGCTCTTGGGGCCCAGTGGGTTGCTGATGGGGATAGTGTATGTCAGCACACGGCGCTGGTGGCACTTGCTGTCCCCGGTCCAAGGGCTCAGGGTCACATCTAGGGGAGAGAGGAGCAGAATGAAGAAACCATTCTCTGGTCCGTTGCCTCGGCTGCAGGAGACTCAGCCTTTTTGGAGGGTTTTGGTCCTCTGCAGACTCCGCCCCTCCTACATGTCCCCACCTTATCCACCCCACATTCCTTTCAAGAGCCTAAAATTTTAGATGCTGGTGAGTTAGAGCTGGAACCTCTCTCAGAGCTTTGTACACCTCTGACCCATCCAGGGGCAGCTCATCCATCCCGCAGCCTCAGTTTCTTCTTCTGTATTGAAACCGGCTTCTCCCCTGAGCATCCACTCCAGAGACCCATAACCTTCTGAACATCTTACCAGGAAGTCCCTGGAAGCTTCGCATCTACCAGGCCCCACATTAGCCTCAGCATCTCCCCAAAACTGTCCCCTTTGGGTCCCCATTCCAAAGGTGGCCTAGTATCCTTCAGCCCTGGGTCTCGCCTCCCCTGATGCGTCAGCTCTGCCGTCTGTGCGGGTTTACTGGGCATCATCCTCACCTGCCTAGGGGCTCTCCCCAGACCCCCAAGCACCTGGCCTCAGACGCCACATCTGGTCCAGGATTGTTTGAATCAAGCCTGACCCCATCCCTGACCTGCCCAATGTGCCTAGCATATTCCATTGCTCCCTACCCCCCAGGGCAGAGTCTGAGCTCCTCTGCTGGATGTGCCAGTCCTTCCGGTATAGAAGCATAGCTCTGTGTGACCTGGCTGCACTCCCACATGAGGCACAATCATACTGACTCTGCATTCATTCTGCATGCTTCCTTTTCACAAGCAGAGAAAAAGAAACAGGAAAACCATCATCTGACCAGCCCCTGCCATGCTCCAATCTTATTCGTAGCCTCCCTCAGCCCGTCCTGTGTCAACCCCTCAGCCTCACCTGGAGCTGCAGCTTCCCCTCTGCACACCTGGCCCTGGTGGCCACCCCAGGGGTCTCTCCCAGTGTGTGCCTCCTATTTCTCCCTCCTCTCTCCTTTTCCCTGCCTTCCTCAGTTCCTCCTTTAGCTTTTAGCTCTGATTTCACATCCTCCCAGCAGCCATGTCACTCACCCCCATCCCTAACTCACAGCACACCTGTTACACGTAGTATTTTTGTTTTGGGGTGCTTGAGGGATGCTGAGAATTGAACCCTGGGACTGTGCATGCTAGGCCAGCCTCGTACCTCTGAGCTACAGGCCCGGGCCTTGACATTGGTACTATCTGACCGTATTTCTGGCTGTTCTCTCTAGATTCCGTGCACTGAGGACAGGAGTTCATTTACCCCGGGGCTCACAGGCCTCCAAGCTCTGCACAGGCCTGACAGAGTAGACTTTACATGTATGATCATTAACTTGTCGTCGCTGTTTTGCAGTACCAGGGATTGAACCCAAGGCCTTTGCACGGAGATACATTTCCAGCCCTTTTTTATTTTATATTTTGAGACAGTGTCTCACTAAGTCACTAAGTTACCCAGGCTAGGCTTGAACGTGGGATTCTCCTGCCTCAGCCTCCCAGAGTGTTGGGCATACAGGCTTGTGCTACTATGTCCAGCCCATTGACTTGTATTTACTAAGTACTTACTAGTCATTACTGTCCTGGGCTCTTTTCTAGTATGAAGTCTTCTAGTCTCATGGGTCCCCTAGTAGACAGGCGTTATGAGCATACACCTCATTATCCAGAAGAAGAAACTGAGGCTGAAGCTCTTTCGGAACACTGCTCCTAGTCACTCAGCTACTAAGAAGCTGAACAACTTCTGCTCCCTCAGATGCCCAATGCCACCACCGTGCACACCACAGCAGCGGGTGGCCACCTCCCGTCTCCCTGATGACCCTTCCTCACCCTGCCCTGCGCCTGCGTATCTACAGCATCCCTTGGGCCTGCCCACTGACCTGTGAATTTGCACTGCTGCAGGAAGCCCTGGAGGAAAGGCGAGTCTGAGAACAGCATCTGTTGAAGCCGCTCGGCACCCACATGGAAGACAGAGTTGATGAGGAGCCGGCCAGAGAGATCAGGAAGCAGGGCGGCCAGGTCAGCTGGGAGACAGAACAGGACCCTGTGGATGTTGATCCCGCTCCTCCACACTCCCAGACCTCACACAGTGGAGAGGAAGACCCATCGTGTGTGTGTGTGTGTGTGTGTGATGATTGAGGATTGAACCCAGAGCCTCTTCAGTGAGGTACAGCTACATCCCCAGTCCTTTTTAAATTTTTAAATTTTGAGACAGGGTGTTGCTAAGTCACTAAGTTGCCCAGGCTAGGCCTGAACTTGCGATCCTACTGCCTTAACTTTCCAGAGTGTAGAGATTACAGGCCTGCACCACCACACCTGACTCTGAAGACTCATCTTGCTGGACCTCTCCAGGGTGGTTCCAGTGGAATCCTGTGACTACAGATAGTTTTCTCCCTGGCACATGAGTGTCAGCGATTGGTTCAGGGGTGGATCCATTCCCTGGACCAATCAGAGCCAACCCAAGAGTTTTTACTTTAGACTATGGGAAAAGTGTGCTCCCTGGCACATGAGTGTCAGCAATTGGTTCAGGGGTGAGTTCATTCACCAAGTTGGACCAATCAGAGCTAATCCTAGAGTTTTTACTTTAGCCAGTGGGGAAAGCATGCTCTCTTTTCTGTTGTGCTTGGCTGGGGTAAGGCAGGGTCTATCTACCTCCACACAAAGGCTACCTGAAAAGTCGCTGCCACAGAGAAAATGAATATAACTGGCTTGACCATTTTACATGTACTAACTCATTTAATTCTCTTAACAACACCCCTATGAGGTGGGTACTATAATTGCTAATCTCATTTTTCAGATGAGGATACTGAAGCTCACTCAGATTAAGTAATGTGCGCACATCACATAGGTAGGAAGCAGTACAGCCAGGATTTGAACTCTGGCCACTGGTCATCCGAGTCTGCACTCATCCTGCCACACAGCCTTCAAAGCAGAGTCCAAGACAGACAGACTTCTAACAATACTATTTGGAATGCCACCCCTGTCCACATCCTGAAATTTTGTTCCTACAATACTGGGGATTTTCCCACTGAGCTACGTTACTTTTTGTTTTGAGACAAGGTCTTGCTAAATCACTAAATTGTCCATGCTGAGCTCAAACTTGACATCTTCCTGCCTCAGCATACCAGAGTGTAGGGATGATAGGTATGCACTGCCAGGCCTGGTCAAACCCTGCATTTTTCAGTCCCATGAGCCAATATATTCCCCACTTGCTTAACCTGTCTGAGCGAGGTTTGTCAGGTGTACGCAACACTAGCAAATGAAACAGGGTCCGCCTGCCTCACCTTCTTCCCCCGTTGATGAAGAGGAGTTACTGGTGTCCGTCAACAGCTCCTCCCTGGGCAGCAGATCCAAGGGCCCCAGGGAGGTGGGGCCTTCAGGCGGGGCAGGCTCTGTACCCAGGGGCTCTGCCACTGGAGTCACAGTTTGGCTGGCAGAGGCATCTGGCTGGCTGTCCATCTGCTCCTCCTTGTCCTCCTCCGCCTGCAGAAAAAGGCTTCAGTCCACCCTGCCCCACCTCCAGCCCAGCCTGAGAGGCCCAGCAGGTCTACACCAGATTGGAGACTGTGCAGCCTTCAGGGAGGAGGAGGAGGCGGGGTTCACAGCTGGGGCTCATGGCTGAGCTGGGAGGGGCCCCAGCGCCACCCTGATGCGGGCTCGTTTTGGTTACCTGGACCATAAGCTTTCCTGCCTACCTGTCCATTTGTCTATCTCCTGTCTCCTCCAACCACACATCTCTTGCCCTTTCTCTCACCCTTCATGGCTGTCTGTCTGTCCTCCTTCTGCCTGTTTCTCTTTCCCTACGTGGTCCTATTTCCCTGTCCATCTTTCTGTCGCCATCTGTCCCTTCCCTCCATCCGTCCTCCTGTCCATCTCCCTCTGCCAGCTGGTCCCTCTCTCCCACCCACCCTCAGCCCTCCTCCATCCCTCTCCTCCAGCACCCTCCTCCCCAGCACCTTCCTACGTACCACATCGCTGCTGGCGCGGGAAAGGTTGGGCGTGACACGGCCACGGCGGGATCCCACAGGGCTCGGCTCCTGGCTGTGCTCCGTGACCCCCGAAGGGGTGATGTCGCTCAGGGCGATCACGTCTCCCACCTCCTTGGGGCTCCTGCCGGGAAGGGGAGGAAGTGGGTCCCCTGGATCCTTGAGACCCCCTCACCCTGCTGGGCCTACCAGTGTCCACCCAGCACTCCAGGAACTCTGTACACGGCCCTTGATGGTCTCCCCCTTGTCGGGCCACCCTCCATCTCCGACTCACCCCAGACCATTCAGCTGCAGAGGGGAGACATAGTCCTCATCCTCGCTGGTGAGGCCCAGCTCGGACCCGTAGCACTGATGCACCAGGTGCCAGAGCTCCCGGGGACTCAGCGTCTGGGCAGGCAGGATGTGGTGTTGGCCTGACCTCGGCGGACGGAGCCCTCCCCGCCAGGATCCCCACCAGGATCCCCACCAGCCCTCCGCCTCAGCAGTTCCCCCAGACTTCCACAAGGGGGCGACGTGCTCTCCCGCGCCAGACTCCACCCTCTGGAGCTGAGAATAGACTCCTAGGAAGCAGCTATGGTCCCTCCAAGCCCTGGCCCTGGCACCACAGACCTCCCAAGTCCTCACAATACTCTGGCCAACTGAGGTTTCCATTCTTACAGAGAAGAACGTGGAGCTCCAAGAAGGAAAGTCGTTTGCTCAAGATCACGCAAGTGACCAGAGGCAACTGTGGGATTCAAACCAAACTCTAGAGCCTGTATTCCCACCCCAACTCTTTCCCCAGGAGGCTTGGGCTTTCAACTGCCGGTGGCCAAGGTGGCTGGATGACAACAACAAGGGTGCTGACAGTGAAACAATAACAGTCATAAGGATAAGAGAGCGGCAGCAGCTGTATGAACCAAGCTGGTTCTAGGGCCGAGGCATTCTTCTAACCCCTTCATGGGTGCTAGCTCCCCAAGCCCACACATTCGTTCTGGAAAGTATGCGCTAATTCGATACTATCTTTGTTTTCAGGATAGTGGTATGGAAGGTGCATGGTAACATGTCCAAGGTCACTAGGAAGTGGTAGAGCTGTGACTCCGAGGGGCTTCAGAGAGCCTCAGAGCTAACCACTGGGATACCTAGCCTCAGAGGAGCAGTCATTACGGAGCATTTATTCTGGGTCCAGCTCTGGGAGCTCCAAAGTAGGAATGGTGCCCATGTGTGTGACTCGGCCCAGGTCACAAATCTGAAAAGTGATGGGGCTTCAGCTACATTTTGACCTTTCTCTGCCCTTGAGCTCCCTGGAGACTCTGACTGCATTGCCCCTCCCACAGGCTCCCAAGTGGGACTTTCTGGAACCCTAGTTTCTGAGCATGGCCAGAGTGGAGCTGCCCTGGGAGGGTGGATAAGAGCCCCCAAGAAGGCAGGATGTGCACAACAGAGCTGCAGGAGTGGGTCTGGGTGCACCCAGGTGCCACAGCCCAACATCGATACCTCCTCCCTCCCTGCCAGCAGAACGCTGGTTTTTTGTGGCGTGAAAATCTTCCCCAACCCCAGGGACAAATTATGACTGGTCTACACTGACTTGTCTCTCCCTTGCCAGAGATCAGCTTCAGGGTCAAGTCCAAGAGCCCCTGGATGTAGCTGCAGGGGAGAAGCGCCAGGGGTTCCTCCTGCTCCCCAAGTTCTGGCACCCCTGGCTCCATGGTCCCCTGGAACCCACACTCCAGGCCTTGCCCCTGCACACCTTTTCCAGCAGCGCATTCTGCCAGAGGCGGAAGATGAGGAGGAAGCAGCGGTCACGGGCCCCAAAGGAGGTGAAGAAATGCTGCAGGAGAGAGGGGTGTGAGGCGTGGGGGAGACACGATAGTGAGGGACCAGCTCCCTCTGTCCCCCAACTGTCCCTGCATCTCTGTCCCGAGGGATCCATTTATCATCCCTGCATTCATTCCACAAAATGTTTATCCCATGGCTGGCCCTGTGCTGGACAGCGCCCGAGTCACCGTGAGGAGGAGTCTGGGGTGGAGGCAGACCTTTCTCTCCCCAGCCTCAGCCCACATGGCTGGGGCTGCAATGGGAAAGCCCAGGGCTTTCCCCCAGAGCTCACTGTCACTAGGGATGGCACCTGATCTGGCTTTGGGCTGGCAGAACACAAAGGGAAGTCTGCTACGATGGCTTCCCCTGCCTTCCCACTCCCTTTGGGGCCACAGGTGTGACATGGCCATCTTGCAACCAACTGGACATGGGGCAGAAGGGCATGTGGGAGGGGACCTCTGGAGGGGAGGGGCCATCTGAGTTGCTGGGTACAGGGCGAGAAGGATTTTACTATCACTGCTACTTCCCCAGGCAGCTGTGGGAAGGGACACAGTGCAGAGAGGGAACAGGAGACTGCTGCAGGGATCTAGGTAGAGGTGATGAGGGCTGGGCCACAGCAAGGGCTGGGAGACTAAAGAGCAGGTGACAGATTGGAGAGAAGTTTGGGGGTCTGTTCAGCTTCGTGGGGGGAAGGAGCAGCCACGTGGCCCTGTTATCAGGTCCCCAGCTCACCTTCTCGCTCTCTGTACAGATCTGGATGGCATTGGGGATGAGCTTGGCTGTCTTTTCCTTCTTCAGACACGTCACTTCCTTCAGCTGGATAGAAATCTGAGGGCGGCAGGAAGGTCAGAGGCGCCAGGGCGCTGCCCCCCAGGCTCCTCCTCGTCCTGCCACCATGGCTCACTGTGGTCTCCCAGCGGAAGATGTTGCTGTAGAAGCAGATCCAGTTCTCGGAGAGATAGAGGCGGCCCTGGAGGAGGATCTCACGCTGCAGGGCGCAGGAGTAATCTGAGAGCCACCAGGCACAGGGAGAGACAGGCGGACACCCGAGTCACCCAGACATCCTGGCAGTCGAGGGCCAGTGGTGACAGTGGGGAGGGCAGAGCTGCGGACGAGGTCAGGGGCCGGGACTGGGCCTGGGGTGCGGGGACTCACCCACAATGAGGCGCTCGGCCTCAGGGAGTTTGCTGAACAGCTTCCGAAAGTCCTCATTGCGCTGCTTGTATGTGGGGCTTAGCATCTAGGGGTTGAGAAGCAAGAGCCTGGACAGGGATCCTACTCCCAGTTCAGCTCCACAAACCTTCCAGAACCCCCTCAGGCTTCTCATCCCAGTGCTCTCAGAAGTTGCAATATCCAGCCTCTTTCTAGCTTCTGTTGCCCATAACACAGTGGTCACCATAATGCCAGCTGCCACTTACTGATTTCTTATGTAAATAAGCCAGGCCCTGCGGCAAGTACCACCAGCACCACCAACCCTTATTCAACACTCCTTCTCACCATGTCAGGCAAGGCTGTTTATTAAGGAAAGAGAGAAGAGCCCAGAGATGTTAAGTGACTCATTCAAGGTCACACAGCACACAAGAGCAGCATCTGTTGTGACCCTGGCTGCACTCAGCACGCACTCCTTGACTGCTGCAGCCTGGGGCTCCCGCTCAGCAGATGGACCCCGCTGGCACCCCTCTAGCGAGTGCCCCTGCCCAAGTACTTACACTGTACCAGCTCTGCATCTTCTGCAAGAGAAAGAGAAGAGTCAGGATGAGCCCTCGGGCCCTCCACACTCCCATCCCTCTCCCCACCGCCTGGGCTTCTACCAACCTTGCTGTTGCGGATGAAGTTCCGGCTGCCCAGACTCTGGGTGCTGGGGGTCCCAGGCACCCCACCCTTCTCCAAGGAGCTATCTGACCCCTTCTCCACCATGGTGCCTGGTTCGGGCTCGGGTGGTGGCCGGCTTGGGGGTAAGAGCTGCAGCCGCTTACGGAGAGACGGGGAGCTGCTTGGCGTGCTCCGGCCAGAGTGGGGCGTGGTGCTAGGGGCAGGGAGAGGAAGGAGAGGGCCACAGAGGAAACAGGCTGAGGTGTGGGGCCGCTCATCAAGCCCCATCTACCAATTCACCCCATGTCTACCCGTCCATTCATCTAATCTCATCCTCCCATTGACCCATCCCTCTCTCCTTCCATCCACCTACTCATCCATCCATCCACCCTCCCATCTGTCCATTCATCTCCCCACCCAGCAGCCCTGTGGCCCCAGAGCAGATTCCTAACATTTCTGTGTCTCAGTTACTGCATCTGTAATCCAGGGAATGACAAACACACACCTGATTGCTTGGAGGGTTAAACAATACATGTAAAAGACTTCTAATAGAGCCCAGTACATACTGAGCTCTCAATAACATCTGCTCTTGTTTTAAACTAATTCATTCATGTCACAAATATTTACTGAACAGCAACTTTCCACTCAGTTGCTCAGCTAAAGCCATAAGCGAGTCTCTTAATTTCTTTCTTTTCCTTACTCCTCGTTTCTGATCTGTCAGCAAGTCCCACCAGTACCACCACCAAAATCTATTTCATTTATTTATTTTTGCTATTGGGAAATCGAACCCAGGGCCTTTGCACTCAGCCATATCCCCAGCCCTTTTTTATTTTGAAACAAAGTCTGGCTAAGTCACTAAATTGTCCAGGCTGGGCTCAAACTTGCAATCCTCCTACATCAGCCATCCATGGTGCAGGGATTACAGATGTGCCCATTATTTCTTCTATGCCAGTTCTCTCTGTTCCAGACTGCATACCCTATTACCTGGACGTCACAGCAGCCTCCTCCCTGGCCCTCCTGATCCTGTCCCTGCCCCCACTCTGTTCTCACCTGAAGCCTGTGACCACCTGAGTCAGGTCAGGGCCCGCCCAGTTTGCTTATTGCTCGCCCCAGACTGAACTTCAGTAGGTTTTGCTCACTATGTGGCCCTGGCACTGTAACCTGTACAGGACCCATAAATAATACTCAGTAAACACTGATGACTGGATGAATGGCCTTGCGAAGACCATCAGGTATGGCTGCTGCCTGGGAGAGTTAACCTTCTGGCAGGAGGCAGAGTTAAGCAAACAGAACGGTGCTATTACAAACTGTAATAAGGGCTGCAAGGTATCGGGAACTTTAAAGGCACATTCATTGTTGACTCCTTATCAGGAGCTATGTCAAGCTCTCCTTGTGATTAATTTTATTATTCCTCAAACAACTCTGCGGTGAACCACTTGACAAAGGATGCACAGCAGGTTTGTTTCAGGGTGGAATTACAGGTCAGGAGGGGCTGCTGGATTCTGGGGTACAGGCAGGAATCCTTCCTCCTGGAGGGACTTTTCAAACTTCTCCATCCTGCCTCCTAGCTTTAGCAATGCCCTTCCTCTGTCCAGACTACACTTGCCTTTATTTTCTCCCACACTGGGGAATGAACGCAGGACCTTCATGCTGAACTACATTCCCAACACTTTTTATTTTTTATTTTGAGATGGGGGTTCACTAAGTTGCTCAGGCTGGGCATGAACTTACATTCTACTTCCTCAGCCTCTCAGAGAACCTTTGACCTTCTTATGCAACCTTCAAGACCCTTGCTTACACATTCCCTCCCTTTTGTGGGCCTTCATAAGCCCCTGGGCAGCTCTCATTCCAGCCGTGACTACCCTTGCCTGCCACTGTCTGATGACAGGTCACTTCCCCTAAAGATCTGTGGGCTCCCTGAAGGCAAGCTCTGGGCTGTCCTGGACCCTGATCTCTTCTTCAGTCCTACCCAGGACAAGGTGGAGGGAAGCATTCACATAACACTAGTAAAATGAATTAGCAGAATAAAACATACAAATAAATAAGTTAAAGAGATGGTGGCTTGGGCCACTGCCACTCTCTGGGACCCAGTCTACTCCTACCCACAGCCAGAGGGAGTCTGTGCCCACCTGGGTCAGGATAGGATCCTCCCAGCCTGAGTCCCGCACCTCCTGCTGGTAAAGCCTAGGGTGGTCCCTCTTTGCCTGCATTCCCTCTCCTCCAGCTCCTGCCTTGCTCTTCCCTCTGCCCCAAATGCCTTCCTCCCAGATGTCCAGGGGCGCCCTCACCTCCCTCAGTTCTCTGCTCCACTGACATGTCTCAAAAGTCACCACCAACCCCAGCGCCTGCTGTGAAATTCCACAGCCCACTCCCACCCTCCTTCCCTGCTTTCTTGTCCTCTTCAGTGCGTCCCCCAGTGACTACTGCATCGCTCTTGACTTCTCATCTTTCTCCCCCACCAGATGTTAGTACCCCATCACCTAGCAAGGGCCTGGTGAAGGCACAGCAGGTGCCTCAAAAACATTTGCTGCTGTGGACGGAGTGAATGATCAACCTTCCTCCCTCCCAGAACTTGGATGCAATCCACCCAGTGTGTGATTCGTTGGACTGGGACGTGCAGGTCTCCAGGACTTCCTCCCTGTGTGGCCTTGGGCCAGTGGGAACCTTCCAGAGCCTCCGTTTCCTCGGTGCACAGTGGGAATAGCAATAGTTCCCACCTCACAGGGCTTCTGGGAGGAGAAAGCAAGGAGCAACACATACTGCCCAGCACAGAGAAGGCACTGTGGTCTGACCGCTTTCCTTCTTGGCAGACTGAAATGCAGTGCCTGGCCCTGCCATCATCTCAGCCCAGTTTAGTCCAAGATGCCACAATGACACTGACAAGGACCTCACATGCACCTTGGCCACCACCAGGAGCCTCCAGCAACTTCTTTGTAAATACACTCGGAGCACCTGCCCTGTACCTGGCACTGCAGACACAAAAAGCGAACCAGAATGCTGCCCAAAGGAGCCAGCATTCCAGCTGGGGACCCAAGCAATTAGTAAGACAACACAGAAATGAGATTAATGGCCTCAGACACTGGCCACTGCTGTAAATCAGGCTGCAGCATGGCCTGGGCCCATTGGGCCAGGGGGACCAGGAAATTATTTGAAATGCAGAATTCTGGGACCCACTTCCTATCACAGGATAGGGATGGAGCCCAAGAAATTTGACGCATATTCAAGTGTGAAGACCACAGAGATGCAGGATGGGGTAACAGGCTGTGGAGGTGGTTTCTTAGTGAATCTGAGAAGGCCTCACTGGGCCTGGCACGCTTGAGCCGAACGATGAGGACAAAGAATGGATTTGGCAAAGTGTGGGAGAAGGCAGTTCTAGGGACAGGAACATCAAGTTCAGGGCAGACTGAGTTTGGCAGGGCTGAGGAAGAGCGAGGTGGCCAGCGAGGCGGGGGGAGGGGAGGAGGGCACAGGCCCAGGCCCACGCTGCAGGCCCGCAGATGCGGGTCAGGGTAGAGGAGCCTGGGGAAGGGCTCTGAGCTGTGGGTGACCACACCCCTCCTCCGCCTGTCTTCTCACCTCTTGGGCCTGAAGCAGCACAGGCCTTCCCTACTCTCCTGAAGCCTAACGACAGTTCAAGGCTCACAAACAGGCAGGGCCCACACCCCATTTCTTGCTCCAGAGGGCAGGACAAAGAGGAAGTGCTCAAACAGCAGGGGCTGCCCAACCCAGGCAGCTGTGGTATTGTGGAGGGCGAAACCCCAAGTGGCTGGAGGAGTGTTATGATGCGGATGAGGGAAAAGGGTTTTTGCTGCCACAGACTGTCTCACCTGGGACTTCCTGGGCCCCAGCAGGTCCAGAGCTGCTTCTGGTCACAGAGAGGCAGATATATACACAGGTGTGCATAAGAAGGAAACTCAAAAGAGAGTCCCAAGGCCTGAGTCACAGGCAAACTGCACTTGCTCACAGTTGCAAGAAGACACACACACACACACACACACACACACACAGTGTCACAGACATGCTATAGTCACACAGAGCCAGTCCCAGAAGTTACCAACATACACAACTGCAGCACTACAAACATGCTACAATAACACATAAAGACCCAGAAAAGTTACACACACAGTCATGCACACAAGAGCTGCAGAACATCACAGAAACACAGAGAACTACAGAAAGCCCCAGATAAATGACATCTAAACATAGAACCACGAGTCTCACTGAGGCATCGAAGGCAAAAAATATTCAGTCACGGAAGAGAACCACACGGTAAAAAAAAAAATCACAGGGAACCCCAGCTACGTAACACACACACACACACGCACACACACACACACTTAAGGGAGATTAAATCACGCAATCAGCGTGCACATCTCAACAGTGCCTCTATCCTCATGGTGGTCACCATCTGGCAGGGAAGACAAAGCAAAGGAATGGTGTCTATGGCACAGAATCTCCATGCTCACACAGCCATGAAGGACTCTGGAATAATGCAGCTCCAGGGCACTGCAGACACACCTTGACATCACGGTGGTCAGGTTTGGAAATAATGCACAGGACATGTTTTATAAACTGTTAACATGGGGACAATGTTACTCCTTCCAGAGAGTCAAGGTTATACCCAAGGTCTCAGGAAGGAGGGTCCCAGGGGTCTCCATGTCTCTCTCTTCACACCTACAAAGCCACAGAGTCTAGGAGGCACACAAAAAAGCCCAGGCACATGCAACAATGTCACAATCAGATATACTCGGGGACTTTCACACAAAGAATCAGAAGTGAATTACAGACCCAACCACAGAGGCTCACAGCAACATGCAGAGACCTAGACACACAGCAGCGGACACATGCTGGTCACTTACATGTGCACAGAGCCGAAGGAGTTTCAGAGGTGAACTACGGCACAGATCCCAGCACAGAGGGTCATGGCGGACACATGTACACACACTACAGTCACAATAGGACAAACACTGGTAGCTCACAGTGACACGTGGAGCCACAGACGGAATTAATGGCAAATTACAAAGACCAACAGCTAAAGAGGACTATAGCTGCTGCACACTAGGAGTCCCAGGCACTCACAAATACACCTCCAAAACACAATCAGACACACGTCGGTAATTTGTATTTGCACGAATGGAGTGAGCAACACACACATACAACCAAAGTCAGGTCACAGCAAGCAGGCACAGAGCCCAAGAGGTGGGCACACAGTCACAATCAGACACACAGGTAAGGTAGCGTAACACACACAGTCACAGATGGAATTCCTGGAAATTACACACACCACCACGGAAAAGGCTCACAGCTGCTGCACACGCACTAGGAGCCCCAGACAGACCCACAGACACGACAGAGGAGGGCTTCATAATCGGAAATACATTGGCACAGGGAGGCAGACAGGAGGAGGAGGGCAGTTTCACGCACACAGGACCCCGGGGAATCTCGGGGGAGCGGTCCTCTGGCCACGCAGGAGCCACCAACCCCAGCAGCTGCGACAGACGAGGACGGTGGGAGGGGGCGCGGTCAGGAGGGGCTGCTCGGCCTGTCTGGGACTTCGCGGCCTGTGGGCCCAGGCTGGCAGGGGCCGGTCCCCGTCCTCCCTCCATCCCGGACCAGCCTCGCGCCATTGCCCCTGAACTCTCAGGCAGAGGCGATCCAGGCCGGGGTTAGGGGCTGGCTTCCCGCACGAGGAGCCCCCCCAGGGACCCCGGCCAAATCTCTGCAGCCCGGAGCTCAGCGGGCCGGCAACGCCGACCCCGACCTCGATCCCTCTCCGCGCCCGCGCCCGCGCCCCACTCCGGTGCACCCCGTGCGCCCCTGGTTCCCAGCACCACCGCTCCCCGCCCCCACCCGTCGCCCCACGTGCACCGGCGACCAGACCCCAGCCCTCCCGCCCCTGGAGGCCTGGTCCTTACTCGAACATGGATGCGGCGCGCGCCCGGCCGCAGGGCAGGGCCCGGCTGACCGGGGCTGGGCTGAGCTGGGCGACCCCGCGGGCGACCCTCGCCTGCCTGGGCCGCCGCCCCCACCCGACCCGGGCGCCCGCACAAAAGGCCGGAGCTGCCGGTGGCCGCCGCGGCGTCCGCGACACCCGGTTCCTGCGCCCGCCCCGCAGCGTCACGGCGCCGCCCCCCGGCAGGGAGGGAGGATGGGGCGGGACCGGCGCGGCCTAGACTGGGAGAGCCGGCTCAGGAGAGGGCCGGACCCGCTCCTGCCCCTGGCCGGGAGAGGCCCAGGAGCTGGCGCGGAGGTGGGGTTGGGTTGGGGAGAACCGAAGCTGGAGGGAAGGGATGGGGCGTGGAGGCCACTTCACCTTCTCCCAGCCTCTGAACCCCAGTTCTTGCACCCGGAGGTTCCTGGGCCTCAGGCTCTGGGGACTTTGCAGTCCCAATCCGAATCCAGCACCCCTGGCTGTTACTGGTGCTGTGACCTTGGGCCCGTCACCCTAGGCTTGGGGATCCCACTGAGACAACCGAGGGGAGGGCATCGTCCTCGGGGGGAAGCCGGGCTTCAAAAATGGGAAGTGACTTGCCAGGCCCCGGGGCTACAGGCTGCTGACCCAGCCCCACCCTTGCAAACCGCTGCCTGCTGACGTGCTGGACTCCTTGCCCAAGAAGAAAGAAATATGAATTCCACCTGCCCAGGAGCCCCAGTACAGGGATTTGAATCCTACCTCTCCAGGGTGGGCTGTCCCACACACACACACCCACACACCCACACCCCCCCCCCACACACACACACAGAGGGAATTGAACCCAGGGCCTAGGCAAGTGCTACCACTAAGCTACATCCTCAGCCCCTTTTATTTTATTTTGAAACAGGGGCTCTCTGAGTTGTCCGGACTGGCCTCGAACTTGCAATCCTGTCCCAGCCTCCTCCCTAGCAAGGAGTACAGGCATGTGCCACCGTGCCCAGATCCTGCCTCTTTTTGGAAAATCTCCATTCCAGTCCCTCCCTGGCCTTTAATCTCTCTCCCTGCCCCCCACCCCAGCCCACCACCGACTTCTAATGGATGGCAAGTCCCAACCCTCTGAATCTTACTTGACCCCTCTCACCTACATAGGTGATAAACCCTGTCAGCTCCACTTAAGAAATCTCCCAGAAGCTAAACTCTTCCTTCTCCACTTGACTGCCCCCAATCAGCTCCAGCCTTTATCTCCTGTCCGGCACCATCAGATCAGTCTCTTCTCTGGTCGCCTGTTCCTGTCCCTGCCCTCACAGTCTGTTCCCACCCACAGGCGAAGGGACCCTGTGAACACCCGAGTCAGATGGGAGCCCACCTGGCTTAGACCCCTTCCCCAAGTAAAAGCATAGTGCTCACCTGGCACCCAAGGCCCTAGCGTCATACGCCATCTCACCTCTCTGACTTCACCACTTCCTCTTTGGTCTCTCCATTGCTCATTCTCCAGCCACCCTGCCTGGTCCTTTAACTCACCAGGCACATTGCTGCCTCTGCCTCAGGACCTTTGCATCGCTATCCCTTCCACATGGGAAACCTCTCCTGCAGTTTTCCTAGCTGCCTCCCACCTCCAGATGTCAGAGAAGCCCCTTTTCCACCATATTCCTGTGTCTCAATTCTGTTTTTCTCTGCCTGTTTCTTCATTTGAAATATGTTTACATTTTTAAGTAGGGAATATTAATTTCAAACAGGAAAATATATACTGGCCATTTATAGCCCTATGACCCACATCCAATTTATGTGGACATTTGGCTGTGTTGCTTCAGATCCTTTTTTTTTTAAAGGAGGAAGTGTTCTGCTGCCTGCCTCGCAAGCACAAGGTCCTGAGTTTGATCCCCAGTACCAAAAAAAAAAAAAAGGAGGAAATGAACTATTACAGCCAAAGGCCACACCCCATCCCTCCATTCTCTGACTGAGCACCCAAGATACCGTCTGCCTTGAAGTCAGTGTTGGTCCTTCCTGTGCGGGTTTTTCTTTTTTCTTTTTTTTTGGTACCGGGGATTGAACTTGGGACCTTGCACTTGCGAGGCAGGTGGTGGAACCACTGAGCTAAATCCCCAGCCCCCTGTGCAGTTTTTCTATCCTTTTCTTCTATATCAGGATGCATCCACCAACAATATAGTCTAGCATTTAGTGTTCTTTTTAAAAAGATACACAATTAGGCTCCTACGGTATTATTTTGCAACTTGCTTTTCTTCATCATCGTTTCAGAGATTTCTCCAAACGAACACACAGAGTTCTGCTTCATAAGTGTTCACTCTTATACGGTGTCCATTGTTGGAAGAAACCATCGTGCATATTTCTACTTCCTGCCAGAATACGTCTTTCCTTTTTCCCTTTGTGCCATTGAACCTCCCAGTTCCCGTCTCCTTGGGCTAGAGGTAGTGAGTCTTTGCAGAAGTTTGTTTTTTTTAACTTTTTTTTTGTCTGCAGGTTTCAGCAGGAAATACCTCTTGCATTGGCCTCTAGCACATACTTAGAAATATATGTGATGTCACAGAAGTCACAGGAAACCACACTTATTCTCACTATGCCTGCTACATAGCATTATTTTCAATCCTACTCTACTTCAGTTGGGAACAAACTACTGACCATGGTTTACCACATTGGTTCTATGGCCCTTATGTGGATCATGACCCACAATATGAAAAATTCTGAGTGGGTCAAAGCAGGGTGGGAGGTCCACTCCAGTCTTCCTAGGCCATGCTCAGTTGGGCTCAGAGTTGGTGTCACAATGTACATGCCCAAGTTTTGTTTGTGCATCTACTTTGTGACTTTGTTGGGGCCTGTGAGGCTAAGGCTACACTCACCTGTAGCCCCCAACCTGGACAGTGACAGCCACAAGGATCCCACCCTCCACCATGAGGAAGGAGGGATGGAGAGAGAAAGAAAAAAAGAGAGAGGGCAACAGAGATGGAGACAGAGGGAGAGACAGACTTTCTTTCCCATCCCACCCCCCAGGTCTAACCTGTCCTGGGACAGACTCTCTAGGTCTGGGGTCCTCAATCGCCGTGAGTGTGAGGGTATCGGGGTGCTAGGGAGTGACTCCCCATCACTGGATGGTGTGATCTGAATGGTGGGCATGGCCAGGAACATCCATGGCTCAGGGGCCAGGCCCTGGGCTCCATCAGCCTGTGCCTGCTGCTCCACTTCGGGAGCAGGCAAGTCCTGGGCACCACCCTGGTCCCCCGGGGGAGCCCAAGACAGCAGGGGCAGGAGCTCAGCCATGATGAGAGTCTTGAACAGAGGTGTGGCCTCTAGGAGAGAAAGAAGACAGGTGAAGGGGAGTGTGTCTGTCCAAGACCCTTCTGCCTTCCCCTCTGCTATGCCAAGAGAGAAGAGCTATGATTAAGAGCATAGTTTAAGGATCACAGAGATCTGGTGAGCTTCCCACCTCTGACAGTGTCCTCCCCTTGTGACCCTGAGCCTCACTTTCTTCTTGTGGACTCTAGAGGGTTTTGAATGACATCCTGGGGGAGTGTCAGAAATCTCAGCCATGCAGAGTGGCACACAGTGAGGCCACAGCAAGTATCTGTTCATGTCCCTAGGCTGGCAGTGTTTTCTAAGCATCCACTAAGGCCATGCCCTGGGTGTTCTGTACACAACACCCCAAACCCCATGTCCCTTCCAGCCTGGAAGGAGCCAGGTCTGAGTGGCCCCCAGAGGCCTTGGGCCTCAGGAACAGCTGGTTAAGTGGAGAGAGAGAGACAGCAGCCAGGATTTCTCTTCCCTATTTGCCCACCAGTTGCCCCTCCCAAGACAAACAAAGGCCCAATGGCGGGTGGCCACTGCGGCCTCTGCAGCCTGGGAAGCAGCCTGGCAGTTCCTGCAGCTGTAGCTGTGATGTTAGTGGCCAGCTGGGTCTGGGGAAGCCAGACAACAGCCTGTTGGTCAGCACAGCAGAGCACAGCAAGGGCTTCTTAGAATCCAGCTGCCCAGGAAATAGGGAAATAGGACCTGGAGACAGTTCCCCTGGTTGGGGAAGACCCTGACCCCTACAGGCGAGGCCAGGACCTTACCAAGCACACTAGGACCCCAGTACTCCTCCTACCTTATGGATTCTTCCTCCTTTTCTTACAGGGCTCAGAACTGTATGATGAAGGCAGAAGACCTGACCCTTCTTTTCCTCTTCGAGTCCTGGCTAGGCCACAGAGTCACGACCTTCAAGCCCGAATAGCATGCCGGGCCGGAGTCGTGTTACTCTCCGCCCAGCTGTTCTTGGGAGCAGGATAGAGAAGGGGGTGGGTGCTCACGCTATGGGGGAGGCTGAGGAAGGCTACCTCGCCCTTCCCTTCTTGACAGCTCATGAGGAAAGGGCTCTTCTTACCCTAGGCCTCTAGTAATCCATCCCTTGGTTTGGCCAGTAGCCAGCGCAGCCTGTGTTCTCTGCTCCTCAGAGTTGTTCTTCCAAGTTCAGAGACCCCGACCTACCCACTGGCTGCATCTAGCATATTTGCCAGTCTTCATCTTCCTGCCCTGCTCTTCAAAGTCCTGAACCCTAGAGACCCCTTACTCCCTCTAGGATGTTCTCAGCCTTGGTGACACTGATTCCTATCCTGCTCCTCCCTCATGGATAGCCCCACCTCCCTTCTGTGTATTCCTTCTTCTCCTAAGACCTAAACTGGACACGTTTCTCTTCCTTTTTTTTTTTTTTTTTTGTTGCAGTACCAGGGATCAAACCCAGGACCTTGTGTTTGCCAGGTGGGCATGGCACCACTGAGCTAAATCCTCAGCCCCTTCTATTCCTCCTTCCTTTCTTTCTCTTGCTTTCTTTTTTAAATGGCACTAGGGATCGAACCTTGCACCTTCACACTGAGCTATATCCCCAGCCCTTTTTTGTATTTATTTTTATTTTTTGAAGGAGGATCTTGCTAAGTCACTAAGTTGCCCAGACAGAGCTCGAACTTGTGGTCCTCCTGCCTCAGCCTCCCAGAGTGCTGGGATCCTAGGCATGCACTACCACATCTGGCTTCCATTTCCACTTTAAATACATAATAGTTGGCACTAAAGGATGTCTGTATCATAGACTGAGTCATATATGACAATGAAAGGAACCCCATACTCCACCCCCCATTTGAGAGCCAGCACATCATGGAGGAATACCCTTGTGACCTCATTAGACCACTGTCCATCCCACTTTGCCTCTCCTCTAGAAGTCTCATTACCCTTCACCTGAAAGTTGTCATTCTATTATATTTCAAATGGTTTTAAAAACATTGCTGTGTATCTCTAAACAATATATTTTTTAGTTTTGCTTGCTTTTGAGCTTTATAAAATTAAACCACACCATGTGTCATCTTCTATTCAATATTTTTCTAGCCAACACAAAAAGCTTCAATGCAAGCTTTTTTTAAAATTCAACACCTACAGTAGTGCTCCCTTATCCTGGGGGGGGGATACATTCCAAGACCCTCAGACTCATACCATCAAATCCTGTATAACAAGCGCTACTTGCAAGCACCGATTCTTCAACATTGGATCTGATAACCAAGATGGCAACTTAACCAACTCATGGTTGGGTAACATACACAGTGTGGATACCCTGGACAAAAAAGAGCAGGATTTGGGCCGGGAATTGGGCTCAGTGGTTCCACTGCCTGCCTTGAAAGCACAAGGTCCTGAGTTTGATCCCCGGTACCCCCCAAAAAGCATGATTCACATCCCAGGTAGGACAGAGCATGATTACGTGAGATTTCATTACACTGCTCAGATGGTACACAATTGACGACTTATGAATTGTTGATCTTTGGATTTTTCCATTTAATATTTGTGGACCACTGTTGAGCGGGGGTAACTGAAACCTTAGAAAGTAAGACTGCAGACAGGGAGGGACTAGGGCAGCAGTGGTGAGCCTTTTAGGGATGGGTACCAAATTGGAACCCAAAGCCCACTTATTTATCACAAAGCGCCAACACTGCAAATAAACCTGAAGCCTGAGGTTTTAGTTTAGAAAAAATAACTTATACATTAACATGTTTTGTCTTTAAAGAAACCAAATAACACCCATGCCATAGGTTCACCACCACTGGACTAGGGTATTTCTAAGACTCGCCCATATGTAAGCAGACTAGCCATCTATTTTTGTGGCTGTACACTGTGCGAATTCCACACATTCCACTGTGCAAATGCATCACCATCTATTTATCTGGTTTTCCTGCCCATAGTCTGGCTTTCTTCTGGCTTCCTGTTATGATGAATAAAGCTGTCAGGATTGCTCTCAGGAAATCCAGAGTTCCACTGATGGCCTGGCCACTCTTGCCTCCTCTGTATGAGTCTATCCCCGAGTGCTCAGTTGGTCCCACTGATCTACTGTCCAGCCTGAGCTATAAGACTGCCTCTGTTATGTTAGGCCTACAGTAAGTCCTGATGTCAGGTAGAGTAAGTCTCCTCATCTTCCCACACCGGGTCAGCTTGTTGAGTTCCAGAGAGGAGGGGACTCAAAAATGAGAATTTGACTGTTGTGTTATAGCTAACAATTGGTAATTGTGCAATACAAGTTGAGCACCCCTAATTTAAAATTTAGGGGGTATTTAAAATACCCCCTAATCTGAAACTTTCTGAACGATGACACAATGCCACGAGCCTGATTGTTCAAGGTATACAAACTTCATCTCATGCACAAAATTACTTTAAAATGTGGTATAAAGTTAACATTAGGACATGTGCAGAAGGTATACAAGAAACAGAAATAAATTTTGTGTGTAGAATTAGGTTGCACCCCCAAGATATCTGATTATATATACACAGATATTCCCAAATCCAACAAATATCTGCAAGCCAAAACATATTTGGTCCACAGCATTTTGGATAAGGGATGCTCGACTTGTACTGAGCTTTCCACAGGGCCCACATGGGGTCACTGTCCGCGTATAGTGGTAGGTTTCCTCCAGTGTGCACGATCCTAGCCAGCTTACTCACATTTAGGAATGGGACCTGGTATGAGGCTCAAGCCATGGGTTAGAAATTGAAGAGACAGCAGAAAATTGGTTTGGTTTTTTTGGTTGTTGTTGTTTTTGGTACTGGGGATTGAACTCAGGACCTTGTGCTTGCACGGCAGGCGGTGGAACCACTGAGCTAAATCCCTGGCCCAGAAAATTGGAATAAGAATTTTTTGCAGAAAAAAATTAAAGAGTTTTATCTAGGGAAACCCACTAGTGGTATCTGTGGAATCTCGGTGGAGATGCCAGGTAGGCATGCGGCCAAGGAGAGCTAAAGCTGGCCCCGGGCGTCTGCAGCAGGTGGAGATTGCCCACTCCAGGGTGTCTCGCTGTCAAGCTGCCCCTCCCCTCTCCTGAAACAGCTCACCCCAGAACCCACCCTTCTGTCCTTGCATAGGATCAGTGTCTTCAAGAGACAGCATGGTTGACTTCAGAGTCTCAGAGGTTGATTATTTGGGCAAGCTGAGCTTCCATTCCATAGCTTCTTTACCTTTCCTGATCTCTGCCTTTGCAGGTAGATTCTTTTTTTTTAATTTTTTAATTTTTTTAATATATATATTTATTGGTACATTTTAGGTATAAAATACATTTACATTTATCATTGGGTCTTTGTACCAGAACATGATGCATCTTAGTTTTTATTTTTTCTCCCATTACCTGTGCTCCCTTCACCCCCTCCACCCTTCCCTATCTACACAGACTTTGATTCCATTTTTTTTTCTCATAATTTTTTTCTTTCCCTTCTTCCCTTTCCCCTTTCCCTTCCACCATCCCCAAACCCTTGGACCTTTTCTTATTTCAAATTATCAATTATTCATTTTAATCATTTTCATCCTTATTTACACTTTCAATTTCTCACACTAGAGAAACTATTCGGTATCTACACATGTGTGGCTGCAGGTAGATTCGTGAATACGGTTCATGGCTCAAGTTAGGGTTGTAGGGAAAAGAGAGCTCATTTGAACCCAATGACCTTGGAAACATGGTAAACTGCTTGTGGGCAAAAATGAAATTTCAGACAAAGCAGGATTACCTAAGGAGACCCTCATCTTCCCCACCCTAAAAGCCCTGTGGATGAAAACCATCGATCTCTGTGTTAGTCAGCTTTCTGTGACTATAACAAATACCTGACATAGTCAGCTTATAAAGACAAAAGGCTTGTTTTGGCTCACACTTTGGATGTTTTAGCCCGTGATCAAATGGCCCTATTGCTTTGGGCCTATGGAAAAGCAGCACATCATAGGGGAAGCACATGGTAGAGCAAAACTGTACACCTCTTGGCTAGGATGTGACACAAAAGAGGAA